TATAAACAGAAAGCTAGCTATACACGTCAGTTTTAATCATGGTTTTTCCTACGTCACCTTATTGTTCTAATTTTTTCTGGTTATAGATCATCAGACGATCATTCACTCTCAGAGACAATCCCTTTACATTATAAAACAGAGTGATGGATAACTTAGTAAATGAGCTTTAAGTATACATAATAATATGTATAAGCTAGCACATTATATAAAACAATGAATTTTGAACCTTAAAACTCACCATTAAGGTGTAAAGTAAGAACATGATAATGCACTTTAAATAGTTTACTATCATATCCCCGAGCACATTAAATAATACATCTATTTAATGTGTTTAGCCAACTTAATGGTCTTACAGAGAGTATCTTGGGAGTCTTGTTTGTAAATAGATAGTTATATTTAGTCTAGTACCAGACCATAGTCTCATTAAACTTAATATAAACTTATAATTGTTTCATGAAAAGCCAAATGGTCCAGTTGAATACCTGCATAAAAATGTATGACTATCTTAAATTTATTTTTACATCCATCCATATCACCTAAAATTTATTTTTATAAAAAATCTTATATACCTACTATTATATAAGCATGAAGAGTTTGTTTGTTTACTAATCTCCGAAATTACTGTTCCGATTTGAATAATTCTTTATCATTAGTTAGGTGATTTATTGAGGAAAGCTATTGCTTATAAAACATCACGTTAAGATCAATAGGCGCCGAGCAGAGCAGGTGAACTAGCTAATCTAATATAAATTCAGTGAAGTGATTGTGACAGTGATCAAACCATACACGACCGTTTACTCTATGGCTTATAATTCAGTGCTATTATCGCAACGGCACTACCCCATTCTGAGTTACGTTTGAAACATATCGACGCGTTCCCTTCATAAATCAAAGGTGCGTGAACGAACTGAACGACTATACTTTAATGCTTTTGACATCAATAAGAACGTCCATTACATACATGCATCTGGATCCCATTCGTTGCTTTCAGTGAAATTCTCGAACGTGACCGTTTTAGAGAGCTACCTACGATCGGACTGAAGCATACCTGTGATACTCGAACAATTTCATATGTCGCACGACTACTCCGACATAATCGATTGTGAAATGTCAATGCACTGGGGAAATATTTTGTAAAATTTTTGTTACAAGTGTAGCACTCATGTAAATTGTAACTATAATTTGCATACGTTAACATTTTAATCTTCTATCTATATTAATAATTTCGTCAAGGGGTACGGTAGACTCGATCGAAACATTACCTGAATAACAAAACAAAAAAACATATCGATTTTGAGTCAACAACTTACGTAGGTAAGTTAGTAATCCGCAAAATTCGAATTACGGAGATTATTTCGTTTTAATTCATTTTATCGACACTGACAGACAAACCGCAGTCGCCATCTTGAGTAGACAATAAACGTTCCGTTTCATACTAGCTCTCAGATACGCCTCGCCAATCAACACGTTGTCGCGTCATAATCCAAACTTCCAAACTAATATTATAAATGCGAAAGTAACTCTGTCTGTCTGTCTGTCTGTCTGTCTGTCTTTGCTTCACGCCTAAACTACTGAACCGATTTGTGTGAAATTTGGTACAGACATAGTTTGGAACTTGAGAAAGGACATAGGGTAGTTTTTATTACAAAAATATTATAAAAAAAAATATTTCGTACATACAGCGCCATCTATTGGTCAAGAGTCGGCATCAATTCAGTACTGAAAATTCAACAGGAAAATGTATATAAATAGTAAAAAGGTATGAAAAATATAATATAATACAACTTTTAGTACAAAGAAAATGCTCTAACGGAGCATAGATAATTCTATTATATCGAGTTGGTGCTCGCGCAATGGTGTCGATAGTTATACGAGTTCGGTTCATATTATTGTTTTAATTCATCGGAAAAAAGTAAATAAATAGTTAAAAGGTATGAAAAAAATAATATCAATATAATAAAACTTTTACTACAAAGAAAATGCCCGAACGGAGTATAGATAAATAATCCGAGTTGTCACTATGCTCGATAGATGGCGTTGGGATTGAAATTGATCGCGCTATGGTTTCGTTACACGCATTTGGTTGGGTATCGGCCGAGTGCTTCGGTACTGTCGTGGAATTGAGGATTGATCTCGATTGATTGATAGTTTGATCTCGATTATTAGTAGATACTAAAATTGTATGTCTAAATTCATTTTAATTTTTAAATTAATCAGATCGTTCCTTTTAAATTATATAGTTTTAAGCTTGGTTATTAAGGGAATAGGTAATTTGTCAAGGGAGACAGTCTTTTTTTCTGAAATGACAAATCAAAATATTATTTTGAAAATAAGGGAATAACAACATTTTCGCCTTTTTCGATCGGCTTTAATGCCCTAAGCGAGTATACATATCTTCAATTCAAACGTAGAGCTCATTATGTTGATTTTTGAAGAGTTCCCTAGAATATCTTCCACATTTAATTTTTGAAAAGATCCGGAACTATGTGAGTAAAACCAAAAATCTGCCGGAAGTCACTATTCCACGCGAACGAAGTCGCGGGCAAAAGCTAGTTTAAGTATAAATTTACGAGAAATATGAATAATTTCACGCGAACAAAGTCGCAGGTAACAGCTAGTAATTTTATAAATCTACACACGAAAATAAATACGATTGCTCAAGTTACACTAGACTCGAAAATAAAACATTATGAATTAGAATTAACTATTTATTTCCCCCTTAGCTTCACGTTTCTCAAGGAGCATCTAATATAAGCTGAGCTCACACAGACTTACTCTAAGTGAAGTTTAAACGCGACAAAAATCCCAATAACAGTACTAAGTGCTTCTATAACTTCGCAAATGAAATTGTTCTACAAAGGGATTTTGTAAGCCTCTCAGTCGGATGTGCGGCTCACTCGACTACGTTTGTCAGAGAGACATAGATCGCTGACTTATAAATACTATAAGTCTTTCAAAGAAAGCGTTCTTCAATACATAGTATAAAACAAAATCGCTTTCGCTGTATGTCCGTATGTATGCTTAGATCTTTAAAACTACGCAACGGATTTTGATGCAGTTTTTTTAAATAGATAGAGTGATTCTTAAGGAAGGTTTGTATGGATAATACATGCATATTGCACCCGTGCGAAGCCGGGGCGGGTCACTAGTGTACTATAAATACAGATTCACTTTGTATTATAATGTTGCGTCGCCTCGCCTCTGCTGTATTGCGATCACGTTGCAATTCAATACTTAGTGCAATTCAATTCGAAGCTGATGCGAGTGTAACGATATATCGTTACCATACTCTTGAATATTCAGTTTTTCAAATTAAATTCTTGCTCCGCTCATACGAAGTTCCAACTTAATTAATTTCGTTCGTGTCTAGCTCCGGTGTTTACTACATTTTTTATTTAATAATGCCTTTGAATAAGGCGCACCAAACATTGACTTTATTAAAAAACATTGGCTGAACAACAAAAAGCTATCAGTATTCAGAAACAATTGGCCAATATTTATTTTCTTTTGTCATGCAAATACGTTGATTGTGAACATTTCGACGGTTGAACGAGTTCATTAAAAAAGTTATTTATCGATTGCAACATGTTGAGTTTTGTATAATTAATTGAAAACTATTTGTTTGTATTTGACGTGAAAAGGGAACATTATATTTAAATTATGTTTATTTTTACTAATAAATAATTATTATAGTGAACTTATTTCACCAGTAAGCAGTAAGCGTACTGTAAAATTTATATGTGTAATACCAGTAACTTTGAATTATAAATAAGCGTAACTATGACTTGCACGGTCGTTATGCTTAACCTGGATTGACCGTCATTTGTCAGACACCGTGGCGTGACTCCGTGACATGTGAAATTAACTTTTCACGTCATAAAGAATTTCACATTTCTGTGAATCGAGTAATGTTCAATTATTCGACTATAATCCATTAAATAATATAGCGTAGGTATTGATTACACTCGTGGAATCGTTGCCAATAGTAATAAATAGTAAAGAAAAATTTATTACACTGATACATATTTTAAAACAGTTGGTAGGTACATAGGTACATAAATAACTTAAATTATAAAATAACTCTCCTAAATGATATATAAATCTTACAGTGTCGTAAAGCAGTGCCCTACCCAAGTCCTTTTCCCTAGAATAAGTACTTGGACATTATTTCAAACAGATTTTGTTATACCTTCATCTCACATACAAAATCTTATGAGCTTGACAAAGTCCTAGTCATAAATTGTACTAAAACAAAAATAAGTAGATAAGAAATTACCATCGTCACGCCGCCCGCGGTATCTCTGTCTCCAGCAAAATTGCTGTCAACTTCAAATGCCGTAATATTAAGAAAATAATAAAAAAAGTAAACTGCTTTCTTAATTCAAATAGGCACGTAGACAAATGACGTGTGATACACACACACACATACTTATATGACATCACATTTATTTAACTTTAAACATTGTTACGTTTTCAGGCAAATTATTTACTTACATTACTCAGAAAACTCACTAGACATATCATTTTCTCAATGGAAATCTAAAGTAATTGTAGTGCCTCAAAATACTAGAAACTTAAGTACTTTTTTGTCATTTGAATAAAGCTGTCAACTTTGGTTAAACATTTCTACTGCCAATTTGAACCTACTTAAAGTGTATCTAACATAGTTTAAAACGCAATATCTAATTTTGAAAGTAAATACTCGGATTACAAATCTCTTTTATATCCTAAAATAGCAACTTTCTATTGTTGAAACTTCTTGTATGCTTCACATGTTCTGAATATGGATGTTAACTTAGAATAGGAGAGTTTTGTGCGCCATTTTATCCGAATTTATTTATTAAGTTATCCACAAAGGTTACATTTTCTAAAATTAGATCGACACAAAACATTTTATTCGAGTAACGGTGAGTGAAATTAAGACTACACTAATATGATAGAAGCTATATTTACGAAATAATATCTACTTGTATGTTACTCGTAAGTGAGTGATACGAAACTTAATTAAAAACCGCGTATATTTTGTAAACAACCTGCGCCACATCGCCGAACGTCTCTCTATTCATAACAAATATGTCGGCTGCGGTTAAATACAGGGGGCGCTGCGATAGACAAAGCATCAGGAGAATTACCCGCGCTTGTTTTGCCTCCATTAACTCCCAGCCGCAGCTGTAAACAGATGTGGACATTTGTAGGCCCGCGGATATGAGCATCTCACCGCCGAAACAATACAAAAACAATGGCATGATACCCGTCACCCCCGTCAGTATCGTGTTCCGCACATCCCATGCATTCATAGTCTGCAGTGTCGTTACCAAAACAACCGTCATACTGAGAAAGTGTGCTCCAAATATCATTTTGTATAACTCCCGTATCTTACCGTGGTAGTGCATAAGAAACTGGTGATGTTTCACGCAGAACATTATCAATTCGTCGACTGACTCCCTTTCTCTTTCTTCGCCTACATTATTTCGAGAACGTTCGTTCTTTATCAAGATTGTATGAATCTCGTCCAGTGCTTCCGTGATTGCGTAGAAGTGTCCCAGCTCGTGACAGATGAGCGTGACGAAGAGCACAATGTAGCCAGTCTGATTAATGGCGGAAAAAGCGGTCGCGACACACGTCAGGACAAATGTTATTTCGTAAAATGGTGTCTCGTATTTCGGACTTAATCCTGGAATAATAAAGTAACTGTTACTAATTCATTGTTTACACCAAACCAATAAACGTTTTCTTGCGAATATAAATCAGAGTTTCTGACAAAATATATGAAAAACCTTTTCTGCGAAATAATCCTTACTTCCTTACTAATATTATAAATCGGAAAGTGAGTTTGTTTGTTTGTTTGTTCTGCTTTCACGCCATAACTACTAAACCGATTGCTTTGAATTTTTGCAGACGTAAAGTTGGAAGTCCGGATTAAATAATAGGATACTTTTTATCCCGGAAAAATTTGATATTCCTAAGGGAAAACAAAAGTATTGGTATAGATGGCGCTGTGTGTATTGGTATATGTCGCATAGGCTACTTTTTATCATTTTGTGACGCGAGCTAAAAGGTAGTTAAATATAACGCGATTAAATTTACCTTAGCCTTTGTCAAATCGAATATAAAACAAGATAAATAAGGAATAATATATAATTATTTTTTACGCATTATATATTACACATAGGAATCTAAAATATTTTTACACATTCATTGAGATTTTGAAAACGTAAGTAACTAATACAAATCCTTACCATAAGTTTCGCCAGGAGTTGTGGGCAAATATCTATCGTTTCCAAAAACGGTGAACAAGAAAGGCATCAATAAGTAGGTGATATGGGTGAAAGCCTCATTAGCTACCACCAGCCAGGAGACGTAACGGGCACGTTGTAGTGTACTGAGCATTCTCTTCTTGGACGCACTGCCTTCTGGTATCGAAGACAGGCCATAGCGACTCAACTCAAACACGGTCTTTAAACGACTCCTATAAAATAATAAATATTTTTTTTATGGCATAAGCCGGTAAACGAGCAGACGGATCACCTGATGGTAAGCAATCGGCGTCGCCCATGCAAACCAGAGGCGTTGCAAGTGCGTTACCGACCTTTTGAGATGGGAGGGGAGGGTAATTGGGCCTTCGGTAACCTCAATCACACGACGAAACACAACACAAGCGTTGTTTCACGTCGGTTTTCGGTGAGGTCGTAGTCGGTCGTATATCACTCCGGTCGAGCCGGCCCATTCATGCCGAAGCATGGCTCTCTCACACTTGACTAACTTTAACTTTAGTCAAGCTTGAAAAATATAAAAGGTGTTTTGGTGAGGTAGGTGCATTAAATGAGCAATAGGGACCATAATAGGGTAGTTGCCTTAATTTTTTAATGTCCGTCTGGTAGGTTAATTTAAAACATTAGGCACGTATTTTTTTCATTCTCACAAAATACTTTCTACGAAATATTAATATGAAATATCGTGGGACGTCACTATGCGCTACATTTTGTAGGGCATAGTGACGTAACGACCTCCCACTCCTAAACTTAACTCCATTTTATCTAAGTATTGTAACTTTATACGAGTAAATAAAAAATATGTGTCTAATATTTTTTCATTATTTAACTGACGGACTAATTATATTTTTAATTTTAATTACTGGGCAACTACCCTATTGTAGTGATAACACTGATAACACAAAATTTGCTGTTTACCTGGCACTCCACATGAAAACAAACTTCGATAAGGGTACAGATGACGCGCTGATACAGTTCATGGTCTTAAAAGTCTCAATTTTATCAGGAAACACCTGAACTAAGTAGATTAACTGGCTCAGCTGACCCACGTAGATAAACGATCCAGCAAATAACAACGTAGCAAACACTGATTGAACTGTACAGCCTAAAATAGTATCATATTTACATCTTTGTTCAAATTAAAACATTACAAAACACACACAAATAAATAAAGTACTTAGGTATAATCTAACATCTATCTATTTAGTATATGGTATTGTTATTGTCTAGAAAATTAAACATTTGACTATTAAAATACAACTGGCAGACTTATCATTAAAAAAATTTTGCCAATGCCATATATTTTAGCAAAAAAAAAAATATATAGGGCCGGATAGAAGGGTTTACTTTTGTTTATTGAAGGAGATTTAATCACATACATAATTGTAACAAAAAATTAATAACTATATATGTACCTAATACATATGTTACTAGATGTTACAGTATCTACGTTATATACTATTTTTATTATAAGCCCAGATGTTACTAATAAAAAAGTCGAAACCATTTGTAATTTATGAAATAGAAATAATAATCGAATAATCTAATAGCGGTAAGCTAATTTATGCTATACAAATACAGCCAATACATGACATTCATATAAAAGGAAGGTTTCATTCAATAGCTTGAACATGTTCTCCGGATTTGGTTTAAAAACAATCTTTTGCGCAGTCAAGTGTGTAGGTAAATATTATCATTAAATTCGAATAACTTACTACGTTGTTTATCGCCGAAAACGTTATGAATTCCGACCAATTTTTGTATAGAGCTGACCATTGTCATAGCAGCTCCAATCGGGTCGTCAACAGAAGATTTTATCTCCAAATAACTTCGTATTTTTTCTTTGAAAACTTTCATCTTTAGGAGCGTCAAAACTTGACTGAATAAAACGACATTTAGTAATGTTTGTCTACGTAGAGAATAGACCAATTAACACTCAATTATTAGAGCATTTGAGTACAATTTTGTTTAATAAACAATCCATAATTGCTTTCAATATTATAATACCGGTAGTTATATGTTATTTGAAGATATTAAAATTGATTACGAGACTATTAAAACGATTGTATGTACAATTGAATAGTGCTGATTGCTTATAATTTGTCGACAGTTTTAAAATAATCTGACGTTGATGTATAATAGGCATGACAAGTAATTCAGGTACCTAGTAAGAAAAGAAAATTTTATTTATGCTGAGCATAATACGCTCGTTATGCTGAGCATGATCGTTAAACGAGCATAATATGCTCCTTTAGCCTAAATCCGATAGCTTAATTCGTTTAAATACAATGATTTGTAATAGAAAGGCAATTAAACACATATTCGCCTCCAAATACAAATACAAACTAAACTAGGAACACACGCGCCTAAAACTATCTGTAAATATGCCGTTCCCACGTAACAGGCACGTCGGCATGTACCATTTGGCATTCATTTCCTAAATGGATGTACCATGTGATTGATTCTGCAGTACATTTGTTACCTCTGCGGGCAATGGGTGCGGTGTCTAAATTAATCACTCAATTTAGCGAAGTGCTCGCTCCAGATTCAATGAGGTCAGCCATAGGCATGTGTTTGGTTACAGGTAGAGATGGGCACTGGGAAAAAACCCAAAAGGAAAAAACCCAGGTTTTTTCCCATTTGGGAAAAAACCCGGTTTTTATGTGGGAAAAAACCCAATAGGCGGGTATTTTCATTTATAATGATCTTATTCTATTTTTTTTTCATAACTAAATAAATAGGTACTTTGTGATGCGCATATACCTACATTCACTCAAAAAAGTATCGGGAATGGATGATTTGTTTATGGTTCCAAATTCAAATTTTTGTTTTTATGTTTTTGTTAGATTGGCACAACTATTTTCCATTTTGGCGCGGAGTTTGAGTTGCATCTGTTATTTATATTAACTACAGCGCTGGTTTCAGAAATATCATATTATAATGTACCTATATTGTGAATTTCATAATGGACACAAATATCGATCAAAGAGTTTGTCTTAAATTCTGCATTGCCAATGGAATTTCGTGTTCGGAGTCACTAAAAATGTTACAGAAAGCTTACGGTGGATCGACTTTATCAAAAACTCGTGCTTATGAGTGGTTCAAAGCGTTCAAAAGCGGTCGAGATGTGATGGAAGATTTGCCTCGCTCTGGTCTGCAACTGTAGTTAACATCGCAAAAGTGCAGGAAATAGTGACTGAAAATCCCCATTCATCTCTGAGAGAGATAGCCGCCGAACTTTCTGTATCTCACGAGTCGATCCGTACCATTTTAACTAATCTATACTATACACTATAGGGTATGAAACATGTTGCTGCTCGACTAGTTCCAAAAGATCTGAATTTTCTCCAAAATCTCAATCGCATGAAAGTCGCTGAGGATATGCTAGAACGAGTCAGTTTGGACCCAACATTCACGAAACGCATTGTTACTGGTGACGAGACGTGGGTTTATGAGTTTGGCATGCAAACTAGTCAACAAGCTTCGGAGTGGCGCCTTCCAATTGAACCGAAACCGAAAAAACCACGCCAAAGTCGATCAAAGTCAAAGTCATGTTGACTGTTTTCTTTGACTATCGCGCTGTTGTGCACTCTGAATTCTTACCGGAAGGTCTAACGGTAAATAAAGAATATTATTTGAGCTTTATGCGGCTTTGAAGAGAGCAAATTCTACGAAAAAGGCCAGATTTGTGGAAAGAAAATTCTTGGATTTTGCACCACGAGAAAGCGTCTTCGCACAAGGCTATCATTGGTGGCATCAAGGTGAACGAATTTTTGACCAAACACTCAACAAATACCATCCAGCAACCACCATATTCACCAGATATGGCTCCTGCTGACTTTTTTCTTTTTCCTAAAATCGCATTACCACTTCGTGGCACCCGTTTTCAATCGATAGAAGACGTAAAGGAGAATTCGCGGCGAGAACTAAACTCAATTCTGGAAGCAGCGTTTAAAAAATGTTTTGATGAATAGATTTAATTCGTTGGCGCAAGTGTATCGTCTCTAAAGGAGCATACCTTTAACTCGTTGAGTACCGTCATTACAGACAATTAAAGAACAATAGGTTGTGGTCACCGGTGACAGTTTAAAGGTGATAAAATAAATTTGGATGAATGACAGACATTTTTTGTATTATTGATCTTTTCCTGGTACTTTCTTGACAGAGTAGTACTTAGCACCAGCGTGTATAAGGCACTAGCTGTTGTCTGTTATTTGAAACGTTAAAATGTGTAGTCTATTTCAAGGACTAAAACATAACCAGCATTATTATAACACCATAAAGACGTCTTCTTGTTTTATAATAAGTTTTTACTGCGCTCTATGATGGAATGTTAACAGCAGAAAAAATACCTAGTAACTTTAAATAATGTTTGACTAAAATAATATAATTAAAACAACGAGAGATACTCTTACTAACAATAATTTATAATACTTTACAAAAGTTACAAAACTGTAAATTTACCGGTAAATTTCGTTCGTAAAAAAAAGTAGGTATCAAAGTCCGTAAGAGTAGCAATTGTTGTCAATTCAAAGATTAGGTAACCAAAAGTCCACCAAACAAAATCCAAGTCGTCAATTAAACCAACAAATTAACACGAGTGCGCACAGTATGAAGCCGAAACAACGTGTGAGATAGATAGATCACCAACGCGCTCGCCCCTCTACTACCTGCTTCCCTGCCCCTCTACCCGCTCACGTATTTTCGGGTTACCTGTCGCTAAGTGCGGAGGATCACACACAAACAGACAGGATTTTTGTTTAATTTCATTTTATTTCATTTGATAGTAGGTCCCTAAGGATATTAAGAACGTTATTACTGCAATATGAACATAAACAAAGTTAGATTAGCTCTTACTTGTAGTAATAGTTCTTAAATAGTACGTACTATGTGATATGTACATAATCAACACATTACTTATTTATTACATGTGTTAAATATGAAAAAACCCGAATATTTTCCCATTCGGGAATTTTCCCCGGGTTTTTTCCCGGTTTTTTCCCATGTTCGGGTTTTTTCCGGGTGAAATCCCATCTCTAGCTTACAGGTGATGTCTTTTTTGAGGTGAACTTTAATGTTTAAACTTTTGAAAATGTAGATAGAGTTTAACTATTCTACTACTTTCGCGTGCAATACGTGCACAGCATGCGGGTACACGTTCAGGGTGGTGGCAAGTCAAAATACTCATTACGTATTATACGAAATCGCATTTCCTGAAAATAATTCCAACCCTCGTGGCGAGCAATCTTAACGTTATCACCATCTGTTTATTGTCATCCGTTAAAAATGAAACTAATATATGTAATACCAAACTTCGTCTGATTATAGCCATCTGCTATATCGGTATGCCTAATCAGTGATTTCATAATCACCCGCAAATTCACCGTCTCCTGCTCTGTGACGTCCTTAATTCTACAGAAGTAACCTTGTCGTCATATAGGACAACTTGAAAACAACAAAAGCAGGATTGGTAAAATTAGGAGGATCTTTATGTGCTAATGTTACTACTCGCAAACCCCTGCCGGTTGGTGGCTCTGCAAAACTAATCTTTATAATGATCATCTGTGAAAGGCAGAACTATCAAAGTTATAGAGAGGAATCTCCTATGAACCTCCTTATATAAGTCAACAACATTAAAACCTAACTCCAAAAGCCACTATCTATAAAATACCTACTTTATCGAAGTACTATTATCATCTATAGAATTTCTCTTATAGCCATTTAATTTAACCCTTATTTTAGATATTTCTCGGAGAAGTAAGTTACAATAGCTAATAAAACGTTGGCTAAAGATGGCAGGAATAATCAAAAGTTTGAATGTTTACTCAGCCTTCAACGTTCTTGAACTAAAATCACCTGAGTGGCTCCATTGTTTACCGTACGATTTAATTTCAAATAAACTTTGTTCATGGCTCCTAAAGTCAGAACTTTAAAGGGCAAATCAAACTCCAAGATTGAGTAAACCGCGTTGTTTTGTAAATAGCATCCAACTGATAAATAAATAATTATGTGTATTTAAGGAACTCTGTCTCGTGCTCGCTGTGAAGTGGTTACAAAGGCGGTTGTTGAACGTATCTCACGTCTTTGAATTGGCCAATTGATTACAGCACCATAGCACCTGGAACGAATTCAATTCTTTTGCGGTGTTTTGTATCTAATCTATAAAAAGCTTTGCCTTTTATGTAATGTTTAGCTAATTGTTGCTGAAAATACAGACACGCAGCTAGGTATCTAGCACATTAATAGGTACCTAGGAACAAGACCAAAATAATTATCACTAGGGGAATCCTAGCCAAAATAATAGGTACGCAAATATTAACACTGACCAAGGCAGAGGTGGAACGAACGAGGATACAGGAGCACGAGGCGAGAAAAAATGTTGACAAAAATAAACAAACCAAAAAAAGTTTCATGTTTTCACGTCTGATGTTTGTCAATTCGTACTTCCCTCATAACTGCAAAGAAAAAATATTTTTATCCCATTCGCCACTAGGTCTAAAATAAGTAAACAAATATTGACATTGGAAACAGCCAAACCTTACTTTTAAGTTTGACCTTGATACGCAAGGTCAAAGTGAAGTCGACCCCTGTTAGTAGTAACCCTGACAAAATATTATGATAATCCCATTCTTACAACAGTTACAAGATATGAGGAACTAAAGGGGTTTATGGAAGTAAATTTATTATTTTACGAAATGTTTTTAAGTGACATTCAGAACATACATTGCAAAAATCCATCACTGTCGTTTTCTGTAGGACACTGCACATACTTAGCGTAAAACCCACTTTTCCCTAAGCTTTAAGCAACACTCAGAATAATCTGTTTAAATAATTCATCAGATTACAAAGAAACTTGGTCGTGTTATTGTATAAAAAAATGTACGTAAATATTTATAAGCTATAGGAATCCAAAAGAAATTCAATTACAGATGAAAAAAAATGGACACACAAATCGGCGACGCGATGTCGGGACACCAACAAATAAGGTCTTTGAAATTTTCTTTTCACACAATTTACCTACATTTTATTAGACTTTTTAGAAAACAAAATAGGTACATAGCTTTTTGTAACTTTATCACGTTTTGAGCCAGAATGTACACAATTATATTATTGCGTAATAATATCATATGCTTGCTGGAATTTCGTAGCAAAAAATAAAAGTGAGCACTAAAGATAAAATCCACAAAGTCCTCGCGAACAAAGTCACGGAAACAAAGCTTACACGTTTATAATTTCCCCTTGTGTCGTAAGCGTAAGTATACTTTGCTTCAGTAAACATTCCACATCCTTTTTATTTCATCCCTCGCAAAAATGTAGAGAAGCTCCGTACACGCCACCGGGCTGTGGACCAAAGGTATTTAATTACTTTTAATCGCCCGTTTCGCTTACTCTGGATAAATACGGGCAAGCGGCCAAATTGGAACATATTTTTATTACGTCTTTTACACTGAGGACAGAAGTAGGTTTTATATTTTAACATTAACAGGGTGGAGCACAATTTTCGTTACCTTTAACAACGTAATTAATTTTTAGATACTGATCTGCATCAGTAATAATTCTCAAGTAATTTTTTTATATCTAATTCTGGACGGTATAAGCTACGGTGCTACGCAGATCGTAGCCACACGTAGCACTTTCTACGACGTACGTACGTAGTAGTACTACGATGAACGTAGCAGTTAACATCTTTTCGCTGTTCCTTGTATTTTTAAATTGCCAACTAAACACTACAAAATACATGATAAATTATTTGAAGTATTTAAACTACAGAGTTCAATCTATCTTCATTTATGAAGAATAAAAACCATTTTTCTATCAAGAATCTCTGCTTCACGACGTGTCTAGTTTCTATAGAAAAGGCTTTAATTTCCGCTCCTGAACGAGCGGTAATGGAATGAATCGGGTGAGGTAATTACCTTCTGCAGTCGTTAGTCTACTTGAAGTGAAATACGTATGCCGTGTAAATGTGAAGCAGTCATTTCTTATTGTTACCTCGCTTCTTTGTTGGACACAGATCTTTTTGCACCTAAGTGGTATTATTATATTCCTATTTTAGTTAATACTGTAAATGACTTAGCTTTTGACCTCAGCCTTAGGTTTCATTTAAAATAATATTTAAGGTCCCTATTCCAACATCAGTTATGTTCCAAGAATAGTTTTCAATTTCGCTTTTCTTCCAAATTAAGAGCAGTGGAAATAATCGAGACGATTTCGAGGCAAAATGAAAGCAGTTGAGACATTAATCTCGCCAAAAATAAAACGAGCACGTCCGAAACGGTTCCTTCAAGCTTACATGGTGATCCGCAACATAAACAGTCTTGATGGTTTTTACACTTCTTTCCATTCAACATTTCTAAATTCGGAACGCGGTTTGCGCAAGTCTTCTTTTTGGCTGAATGCGTATGCAGGCGTAAAAGGCAAGATGTTAGAAATATGTGTGATGATGAATACGAAAAAGATTGATTTCTTACTGTTGATGAAGCAAAAGAATGAAGAATAGTAGCAATTGATGTTCCATAGTCTCTAGGCGTGAAATTATGAATGTATGTAGTCTTTTGGGACACCACAACTCTCTTCTGTATTCCCTGAAAGATTATTCAGAAGTGATTTTAACAAATGTGACTACATTTCAAGTACTTAGTAAATATAGTATTACCGTATTAAGATTACACCGAAAATCACACTTCCGATACACTTACGTTACGTTGTCGGTGTGGGCAAATAAGCGTAATTATTTACATCAACAAATTGTAGTTGTAAATATATAAATATTACCTATACTAAAGGTTTAAATAGTAACTTTAATACATAGAAACAAGATAACACGTACCGTACACTCTGTTCGCCGTATGATGCAAAACTTGAATACATTTATAAAAACTACAATTAGGTTGGTTATAGCATTATCGTATATTGTACACTACACCCTTGAATGTAAGCACTACAGTGGATTCCAATTAAACAGCTCAATTGTTAGACTGACGAATGACCAAATATCTATACGTATTGTCCAGATCACTGATTGATTTATTGTTTACAGAGACTATATTCAGCTCGTCGAGGGCACACTTATATAGCTTATATTATTTACATTACAACATTTATTTATTAATGTACCTAACTGGCTAACTTCATTTACTTGTGTATATCTAACTTAATTGATTTTCCCTCTGCTTAGTAAAGGTAAAAGGAAAATCAGTGTCGTGCCTACTTACAATTAATACCTAGGTACTTGTTGTTAAATTGGGATTGTTAGCGATTAGAATAGGTGGCCAAGTCTATAAAAGTATGTATAGACAAAATCTGGTAATCCTTCACTCTCTTTTTAGGCTGCAAGCTATTAGAATTTTGCTATCGAAGAAATCGTCATCATCTTATTAGTGAAACAAGTGAAACAAGTGAATTTATTTCTGCAAATAAGCTACAAGGCAGCATTTTTACACGTCAATTTTATCAAGCGAACGATGAGGCCGACATTTCCTAACTGACTACTCTGAGAAGAAATGTCGAAACAAGTTCAGAGGTCTGTCTCTTCTAAAGTCCAGATAAATGTGTATAAAAGACTATGTGACTGTGTTTATGTTACCAAGAGACTTCCATTACTTAACAAATAAGTAAACATAGCTTAACCAAGGCTTCCCTTAACTGACGACTTGCAGATCAGATCAGTTGGTTAAAACTTGGAAACGACCTGGGGCCTTAGTACGAGTTTGATTTACGTCTAAAGTATTCGAAACGAGTACGCGTTCTGCGCTCTGATTGGCCGGCTCGAATGCATCAACCAATCAAAGCGCCGAACGCGTACTCGTTACGATTACTTTAAACGTAAAACAAACTTGTACTAAGGCCTCTGCTTCTATGACTAACGTGGGCTGTTCTTTCTATCTCTCTTAGACTCAATACCTATGGGACGTTTATATTCAGTCAGGCATTTGTTAGCTACATCCTATTATAGACCATGTAAGCACAATTTTGTGCCTCGCAACAATAAGGCACAAAAATGTAAGTTATTTCGACTTTACTTCGTCAAAAATTAGTGATTTACGTTATTACTTTTTTTACTTGTATAATTCTCCAATTTTTTCCGAAAACGGGACTGTTTTGCGTCCCAGATTTCGTTTTGGGAACAACGGGACTCGTAATTATAAAAAAAGGCAGTCCCGTTCGAAACGGGATGTCTAGTTATCTATGACGGCAATCGTGCTTACGATTAACCAACCTAAGAGGCCATAGGACACTATTGAAATGAGTATACAGGTACCTACTTAGTTCATCAAATTGGTATTGTAGTACATTTAATCGCTTATTACGTTAGGTAATAGTTTATTGAATCCCCAGTACGTTCAACTTAGTATTCAAACACAAAAGATACGTATACAGTATACGTAGCTAATCCTAAAATGAATAGATAACGTAACAGTCTATTTTCAGACCAATACTTGGCTAATAATAGAACCTATGTTGATACTGGTATGTAATAAATACTAACTTGTGAACAGACATGTTTAGATTACCTATTTACGTAAACACATTTTCATAGTCGTGGGTGTTACTGTACCTTAGTACTTACAATCTGACGCGTATGATATGTATTAGATACCTTCTATGGTCTCTTAATTGCATAGAAATTTTATTGAGTAATAATGTTTTTCGTTGTTATCATACAGTAATAGGTAGACGTCCGTCGCAGAATAAAAGCCTCGGCGTGACGGTAACATTCGACAGCGTGCTTCGACAGCTTGTACCAAAGAGTATAATAAGTATAGGACTTGTACGCTTTCATTTATGATACTAGGATACGGCATGATGCGGCATACGACAGTCACTATACAACGTTTATTTGCTCTCACTATACAATAACTTGGGTTGAAAGTAAATCTTAGATTCTTATTCCAATTAATTTAGCTGGTATGATCCTGCGAGCTATGTGACTCGTGGGACGCTATGTTCTGCCGTGATGTAAAATGAAAGCACACTATGGCAGTTTGTAGAATGGCAGCTGTAACAGTAACGGTTCTACGATGGGGCTGACGTACCCTATTGGTTAAAAACCCCTAAAATAAAATAGATAATAAAAAAACAGTAACGGCTCCCTTTTTTACATCTAAATGGCGTTTTCAATTTAAAATCAAACAAACAGTAAGTTTCAACTTTTAATTTGTTTTTATACACAGACTCAACAAACATACAAAACAACAATGTACCTCTAAATAATAAAAACTTTTTGAAAAATGCTTTGTTACCTAATTGCACTATTTTTGGGAACCTCATCATTTAAGTTCATATTGTAAATATAACACCGTAAAAATTGTACTATAATGTTGATATTTCAATGCAAATAATAAAATATAACACAATAATGCATTGCAAATATCAACCATAACGACATTACTTTATGGTGCATTATTCACTTAGTTTGGTTGTATATAACAGCATTTTATTCACATACTTTCACACAATCGCAAAACTACTATATACAGTAACTATCTGAGACATACTAAATTAATTAAATTATATGGCTCACTCATGTGGACTAATGAGTATAGGTCCCGGTGCGACCTGAAATTAGTTGAGGTTCCTCGAAAAGGTCACATGAATAAGCCGTTTAATCAATTAATTATTATGTACAGACCAAATATACTAAGAACTGGCTACTTTATGGACTTGTATGAAATAACGTTGTTTGCGCTATACAATTCGTTTCTTCGGGCGCGGTCCGAGTTGTTTTTTTTTCTGCGCGAAGTTAGATTGTCCTCTGTTCTGATCTAATGTCCTCGGTCTGTCTATCTCCATGTTGAGTAGCTGGTCCAAGGTCTGGATATCAAACAATAGTATGTTACAAACTATTTTATAAGAATCTGTGAATTTAGTAATTGCATAATTTACCGCAATAGTAAAAACCATTATTATTAAAGTAAAGGCAATACAATGTGTAACCATAATTAAAGTGTGGGAGGGCGACCGGAGTAATATCACGACCTCACAAAAACCGACGTGAAACAACGCTTGCGTTGTGTTTCTTCGAGTAAGTGAGGTTACCGAAGGCCTAATAAGCCCGCCCCTTCCACAATCTCCCAATCTCCCCAACAATCCTAATTCCTATTCCCAAAAGGCCGGTAATGCACTTATAAAGGCTTTGGTGTTCCAGGTGTCCATGGGCGACGCCAATTGCTTACCATCAGGTGATCTGTCTACTCGTTTAACGGTTTATTCCATGTGTAAAAATGTTTTCGAAATTAAATAAATAATTTGCAAAGAAGTCAGTGCTAATCACACTTTTGCTAGACTTGGGACTGGAATCGGAAATGTGAACTTAAAACTCGTCGTTATAACGTTGCAAATCAAATAACTTTAAAATAAAGTTGAGAATTACCTTGCTACTATCAATCAGTCCTCTGTCTTTCAATGCGTATGCAATTTCATCGAATTTCTTCTTTATATCTTTATTGTCGACTTTCTCTACCGCTACTCGTACTCTTTCGATCTAAAATATTGAATAAAAACGCTCTATAACATGTAAACAGACAATAAATTGTAATGACGATCTCAGAATCAGCTATACTAGTTTTGATAAAAGCCAACGGAAAATGTTTGTATAAGAAAATTTACACAAACAAGAGATCAACGCATAACGAGATAGAAGTTAACTTAGGCTCAATTTACACCGCGCAGAATGGAACGGAAGAGACTTTTGCAACGAGACTGTACACAGCATAATGAACTTTATACCAACTGAATAACACATAAATTAATTATTGGTGAATTCTCGAGTATGCACGAGAAGATAGTTTAAATTGAGCCTTAATGTCCTAACATAAAATAATAAAAATAGTTACAATAGAGCTTTTAAATTGATAAATCAATTTAGCACTTTTAATTAATATTACTTACGGCTTCTTCAAAGAATGTGTGTTTATCGCTCTGCACGGGCGAATCAATTTCCATTACAGATCTCAGTATCGGAAACGTATCTTCAACTCGACCCATATCTGCTAATGCCATTACCTAATAAATAAAAACAATTTGTTTACTTAACACACACAGGCACATATGACCGATGAAGTTAGCGGAGGATTCACCTTTAAAAGCTATTGGCAGTCAAAGACAACAAACAACTACATAACACTAAAGGCCATCCTTACTTCCTTACTAATATTATAAATCGGAAAGTGAGTTTGTTTATTAGTTTGTTTGTTTGTTCCGCTTTCACGCCGTAACTACTAAACCGATTGCTTTGAAATTTTGCAGACGTAAAGTTAGAAGTCCGGATTAAATAATAGGGTACTTTTTATCCCAGGCAAATTTGATATTCCCGAGGGAAAACAGAAATAATGGTATAGATGTCGCTGTGGGTATTGGTATAGATGGCACTGTATGTCATTTAAAACAAGTGAAACAAGTGACAAGTGAAACACGCTTTAATCTATAGCGCTACCTACACTTATTCGGTGCACTTTTCGACTCATTTATTGACTGTTTTATAAGTCAACGAACTATAATTAGTATCTATGTAGTAGTTACGCTGCTTCGCGATAGATGGCGCTGGATGTTTTAACAACGTGGCAACGTTGTGGTTTTAAGTATTTTTCGCTTTTAAATTTTGGTTTCTACCATTTTACATTAAATTCTGCATTTTATAGATTTTAAGTTGAAAGGTACACGAAATCATAGCATCGACAATATTCAACAATTAGCAAATTAATTGTACGCTGTTTTTTTTGTCAGGATCGGATAGATAGATTTTTTGCATTTTTAGGGCCATATCTGTACAATAAAATTAATAAAGAAACCTTGGTTTACAATGTAAATTACACCAGAGCAAAACAGCGCATTTATCAGTATCTACTATCATTAAGTTATGAAAAAAGCGAGGATTTGTTGATTGTCATGAAATAAATAATATATAGATATAAATAGATAATAATTATTTTAATAAATGAAAGTATAAAGTTAGTGTTTCCTAACTTATGTATACATATGTAGGTTTTGTAATTTTTGGTGACTGTAAAAATAATATTGTTAAGGCTTAGTTATATTATCCTAATGTATAATGCACGCGACCACAAAGCCTGTGGTACAGATTTAATTCTATACAGGCATAGTAGTGTAACCTACCTAGAATAGTTAAATAATAAGCTTTGATTAAGTACATATATGTGAACAAAATGGAAATAAATATATTTGTTTGTTTGTTTGTTTGTGATGGCGCTATGGTTTCGTTACCGGCGAAAGTATAGGTTCCGAGCTTCCGAAACAATAATATTTTGGTGTAAGCATCTAGCACTGTGATTAATTTTTTTTTCTAAGTAGATATTATTATCTAAAGTAGTGTAGTTATTGTTTTTTCGTCGTTTTAAGTCGCTTTGTTCATAGTTTAGATTGATTGATGCAGTAGCTGTATATTAGTTAGGTGAAGTCTTTTAAATTGCAATGGGAGGATGGTATTTGTGGTAATGCGAAAATAACTCCTTCTGTCTGTTGTTCTTTCACGCCTAAACGGCTGAACTAACGAACTTTGAAGAAATTTAGTATGAAGGTAGTTTGCGTCCTGGAAAAGAAAAGGCCACGGAAAATCTAAAAAGCGCGATATAACCGAATTCCACGCGAGCGGAAAGCCATTTGTTTGTTTGCCTGTTGTAGACGGCAAAACTAAGGTACTAATCATGGATGTTAGGGAGCTCCGTAACCATAACCGTAACTATCGGATATCCGATATTAAAAATATCCGTAACCGGAACCGAATCCGAAATAAAAGTTTCGAATACTATCGGATAAGAGCGTGACGTATCAATAAAACCAATATATTAGCTATTTGTATTTTACTTTTGAAATTCCTTAAAATTTTAATATTCGTAGGTAACCGAAATTGTCCGAAACTAACGGATAATCCGAAATAATTTCATATCCGTATCCATAACCGTATCCAGTATAATAATCATCTCTATATCCGTATCCAATCCGTATCCGAAATTTTATATCCATTACATCCCTGGTACTAATTAACGTAATTTTTTAACTGAAGGTAATTGAAGGGATGGATAGTCACACAGGCTACTTTTATCCTTTTGTGACGCGAGTGAAGCCGCGGGTAACAGCTAGCGAAGCGGCGGGTAAAAGCTAGTTTTATACTATACAAATTTAATTTTATGAAAATTTATTCAAAAGAATTAATTCTTTCCTTTGTTCATATTGAATATTTTTAGTATCAAAATGTAGAGATAATTACTATTTATTACTTTTATAAATGTTCGTCTAAAGCAGAGGATACACTAGGGAACAAATGTGCAACACGTGTTGCCAGCGACTTTGGTTGAAGTAGCGCGACGTTGCCGGACTTCGGTCGATTTGTGTGGCAACGTCGCGTGACACGGGTCCACAGCGACGCTGATGTCATAGTAGTAATTTCGCGTATTGTGTATTTTCTTATTATTTTTCACGATAATCTTCTACAAAAATATCATAACTAACTTAACATAATTGGGTACTTGCCAAATAGTCAAATTCAATTCAATACTTTTTTCGAACTGTCAAAAACGACAGTTTTCTATGAATTTTGTACGAAATTGTGTATTGTGACGTCACGTTTTTTAACGTTAAACAGTACACATATTTCTTAAATGAATGTGTGATTATTTTTTAATTTCTTATTGTATTGAACAGTCAAAATAATTTATTTTTGAATAAGGAAAGCCCAAATAACCAAATAATAGCAATAACCATAAAGTATTAAGAAATACTGAGAACATACACAATGCGCGAACTTCCCCCACCACGACAAAATTTTGCCGTGTGCCGGGGCCGATGCGAAAGTATCGGTATTAGTCGCCGGCGTTGGTAGCAGTCAGTAGTGACTGCACATATTTACCTGAATGCTAAGTAAGTGCAATACAAGATAATCAACTGGTGTGTATACTATGATAAATTTTATTTAAAATGTATTTCTTTTGTAACTTATTAAATTGAATATAAGATTGATTTTAAAAACTTACTTTGATATTCCTTATAGAAACATAATGCTGTTTTTGCGATGTTATTGATTCCATTGCTATGTGTGGTGCTCCTTGCTTCAAAGCCAATCCTGATGTTTAAAATATTTGCAAAGTTATTAGGCAATAATTTTAATTTAAAAATAATGTGTATTAATTTTCAGCAGGTCAACCTTGTCCATTCTATCATTTTCAACTTTATAGTTATTGTTATAAAGTAAAAAATACAATGAAAATAATTGACAGATTGGAATAGGGTTACTGGTGGACCACTGTACTAAAAAATATTGGACATACCAGCGAAAAATGTGCAAGCTCTTCTAACTGGTACACTTCCAGAGCTGGCCATATCTGACCATAGTTTTGATGCATACTCCAAACTCTTTGGTGTATTCTGAAAAGTTTTATAAATAAATCTAATATGTATTGGTTTTACTATAAAAACTTGATTAATCAATTTGTTGTTTTGTTTTGTTATTATAAATATTTTTAGCAGTAACATTTCAAACTGAACTCAAGTATTGGTTCTATTAATTGCAAAAATACCATGTGGAAACAATGTTCATACATAAATAGCATGTGGTATATTTATACATTTTCTATTAACATGCTATTTAAGCAGCCATTGCTTCTATTTTTTCATGGTACAAGTGTAACAATAAAATATACTCTTTCTTGTACACCATAGAATACAAGACACAAGTATAAAAAAAAAACATCATAGAACAATTGGTAGTGTTATTTTTTAAACACAAGCTTATCACTAAAAATTAATCTCATTCTAGACAACTATTGTATGGAGAGAACATAAAAGTGTTCTTTATTCACATTGTCTTCTATTTTCAAATTTTTAAACAATATACAGTCCTCATGGTATTTTTTTTCTTTCCTCAGATTCATCAATCACTTACCTGTTTGTAGCAAGCAGCCAGTACAACCACCACACAGTATTTTGGAAACTTGGTCATTCCAATTTGTTTTTGCTGTGATTTATCAAACACTTGGTACATTTCATCATACATCTCATGACTGTACAGCAGGTCTAATAGAATCTGGTGACTGATCATTTGGTCAAAGAAACCTTCATTCTTTGGATCATTGAAGCACTGGAAATATAAAGTTTTAATTTAGGTAAGTTTTTAATATTTATTTGTTTTATTCTTCTATGTAATACTTTTTGGTTTTTGGTGTTGAATGAAAATAAGGTATGCTAATATTGTAAGAGGTTTATTTTTAAAGGTAGAAAGATGTTTGTGTGATATTGTGAAAGGGTCCGTTTTTTAGAAAGAAGAAAGAAAGAAAAGACATTTATTTAGCACCAGGCACGATGCAGCATAAATAAAATATTAAAATGACAATCAAGTGACAGTGGAAGTAATAAAAGTTGAAAAATTAAAACTGAAGAATTAGAAAAGAGACGCTGACAACATGCCTATGCTAAAAGGGTATACCCACTCAGTATAAGCCAGGGCATACAAGTCACCCAGCACTGATTTTCAGTGGGCACCCATGCAGTGACGCATTTTAAGGTTTAATAATATTTATATTTAAGTAAAGAGATAATTTTATGTCCTCTGAATAGGTTAACCTTTATTAATATAATCCTGACTTAGATTATTGTATAATTTTCTTGATTTTCAATTTTTATGATACCAATTTTCTCACCTGTAATGCTTCTTTAGGTGCATCCAGGAAATGGAACATTCTCATAATAACTGGTCCAAATACATAAGATCCAAATCTCAGTTCAGTGTTTTGAGAATTAAACCTAAAAACAGATAAAATTTCTTGTAAGTATCATAAAACTCAACTAATATTTTTAATTGATATGTAAAACTACATATTTTTAAATTCTTCAGTATAGAGTTCTTGACAGGAACTTACTTTTGAATCATATTCAAAATGAGCTTTAAGTCTGTGGGTTCAGCTAAATGTACCATGTTCTTCAAATCTTCAGTAAATATCATACTCTCGTTGCTTGATACAAACTCATTCATCTTCGACCTGAACTTTTCAGCGTAGTTAGTAAATTGTTCCTTACACCTCTTTCTTGATTGTAAAAACCCATCGATACCGAGCGTGGCAGGCGAATAGAGAGTTTTGACTGAAAATTGAAGAAATGTTTCAAAAAGACTTCACACAGTTCAGTGAAAAAAGACTTTGATCTACTACAGTGTAATCCCAACAGATAATCTCAATAAGTCACTATTTAAACTGATTTTAGATAATGCAAGATCTAATTCTAACTCTAATAAGTCGAATAAAATAACATACTTTGTGTCAAGCTCAGGTAACTTGATGGACACATAAAACGTAAATTTGAATAGAAACAATTTCTTGCTATAGAATTCATAATTAAAGCCATTCTACTATCAATAAAATTAATATAAACGCCGATTTACAAATTAATTTGTAGGTTAGACAAAGGGCTGACACTTGACAGCACAGAACAGAACATAAAAGCTTGACAGTAAATCAACATTGACATATCTTCCATTATCATCTGCCTGTAATCAAATGATGAATAAACACAGCAAAAGCAAGGTAATAAAAATAATTTTAGTGTAATTTAAAACTAACTTATAGTCATTGTTTAAAATATGGAAAAATAATATTTATATCTGTTTAATTCACTTCACCTTTTATTTAGTTCAATTAAGTGCGATAGGTGAGAATAACAGTCGAATGTTTGCGCATCTCTACAAAAAGTGACGTAAAATTACAAATGGAGGTGTTTACGTGAAAATGTAAATTTTTGGTTATTTTTGTTTTAATTTTTCTGAAATGTTTGGTTGTTAGCGTGATAAAACTGAGAATTGGCATCACTTTAGTGAAACTACGTTCAAGTAATTTGATTTGCAATACTAAGAAGATTTGTGTGTAATAAATGGCAAGATATTTAAGTGTGGCATAAAATGTAATCGTAAATCTATTGATTGATGAATCATCGAAGACGAGATTATGAACTAAAATAATTCCCGTTGTGAAAGCTAACAATTACTTGTGTAACTCAAGAAACCACTGTAATTCGTGTCAAGTGTACGGTTTCCTCTGTTACACAACTTGTCTTACAGTATTCATAGCATGAGCTTACTTGAACTTCTATTTACTTTGTTTTCAATGTTATGAATAATACAAATACCAACTTTATGTGAAATAAAATTTTCTAATTTCTAATTTTTGCTAACTAGTACTTTGTTATGACATCATTCTATGAATACTGTATAATGAATGTAATTTAAATTTTTCTTAATATCTACATGTTTACCAGGATAAACATGTTTATATTAAGACTGGGAAGCATATGCTGATCTACTACTATTATTACAAAATTGTATAATTATTCTGTATTTGAACTAATTAGCACAATTTTTTCTAGCTAGCACATAGAAATTATGATTTGAAGTCCATTACAATAGTATTATCATGGACGGAAGTGTTAAGTGACACTGATCACTGGACTTGATAACTGGACAATGTAATATGATGGAGGCATGTATGAGATGAGAGGTCACCAATCAACATGAAAAGTAACGACTGAGTAATGTTGGACCTGATGATAGTGGCAGGGTGGAAATGTAATCAAAGATATAGTTAACAATACTTAAGATAGATATGCAAACAGTCAACTTCATGAGGGTTGTACAATGTCCTTCATACACTCAAACCTAATCTCAGGTTCTATGAACAACATTCATGAAAGTGACACAAGGCTAATGCTTTTAATACACACATGTATTTTTTATACTTCTTCAAACCATTTTCAAAGTTGGCTTCCATAGTTCTACTATAAATTGTTATGATTAATAATTATTTTGTATCTTTACAGATAAGTGGTGCTGTTCTTACAGAATTTATTAGTGCTAATCCAATCAACAAACAGCAGTTAAAATGACAGATGCATACACCAGATATTCACAGAGCAAATCATTAAAATATCAAAAAGAAAGAGACATTGTGATGAAGTCAAAGTCTAGGAGGTCTAAATATTCAGATCAAAAATATCATCATGTAGAGTCAAAAACACCTCCATTGCCTGCCAAAAGTACCTCATCATTGGAAGAATTGTTAAAAAAAAGGGAATCTCTTAAACAAGAACTAAAAAAAATTGTAAAAGATCCTGACACTGCACCTAACATTGATTACAACAAAAAACGTAGGCATTCCAAAGAAGACTATGCTTATGAAATTATGATTAGTAAAAAACGACAAGTTCATAATGAAACCCGATCTAATAAAATTTCCAAGACAAGAAAATCTAATCATGAATCTTCACCAGAACTAGAACATATACAACCTGAGTCAGAAGATGAAGAGACTATAATACAACAAAGAAGACAACAACGTAAACAACTCTTAGAAAAATTTAATGTTTTAAATGAAAAAAGCAATGAAAGTACTGAAGATGACAACAAGGCTAGCAACAGTGAAGCTGAAAACACCACAGATATTAAGAACACTCAAGACAATCAAATTATTTCAAAACAAGTGACGGACATGTTCTCAGAGAAAGATGAATTTGAGTCTAATGGTGCAACAAAAAATGCAACACATAATGAAGATGAGACTAATTTAAATTTAACCGATAATTGGGATGATGCTGACGGATACTTCAATATACGTATAGGAGATACAATTAACAATAGATATACCATTAAAAGCATTTTAGGCCAAGGAGTATTTGCAAATGTGGTTCGAGCTCAAGATAACATGGAAGGAAATGACTATGTAGCAATTAAAATCGTCAGAAACAATGACCTTATGTATAAAACAAGTTTGAAAGAAATAGAAATTCTAAAACAAATACGAGAAGCAGACCCTGACAACAAATACCACTGTGTTCAGTTCCTTGGACATTTTATGCATAAAAACCATCTTTGTCTTTTACTAGAGTCTCTACACATGGACTTAAGAGGAGTCATAAAGAAATATGGGAAACACCATGGCATCAATATGAAAGCTTTAATGAGCTACAGCAGACAATTACTGCTAGCTTTAAGACTTCTCAAGAAACTTGGTATTATTCATGCAGACATAAAACCAGACAACATCTTAGTAAATGAAAAGAAAAATTTATTAAAGCTGTGTGACTTTGGTTCAGCTGGCAAATCTGATGACAATGAACCCACCCCCTATTTAGTTTCAAGGTTTTACAGAGCACCTGAAATTATTTTAGGTGTGCCATACAAACATGGAGTGGATGTCTGGTCAGCAGCTTGTACCATATATGAAATGGCAACAGGAAAAATTTTATTCACAGGAAGCTCAAATAATAAAATGTTAAAATGCTTCATGGACTTGAAAGGAAGATTTTCTAGCAAACTTGTAAAGCGAGGAAAATTCAAAGATCAACATTTCAATTACAATAATAATTTTCTTCTTCATAAAAAAGATGAATTCACTGGCAGAGAAAAAGTTGTTGAAATGAGTAATATCAGCATCAGCAGAGATTTACTGCAAGAACTGAAAAAATGTAACAAGAGTATATATATGAATGAAGAAAGGAAAATAACACAGCTCAAAGATTTACTGGATAAGATGACAATGTTAGATTCTAGTCAAAGAGCACAGGTAAATGATTGCTTGAAGCATCCTTTCATTTTAGAAGAACTGGATAAATGTTAAATTGTTTATTTTGTTACAATAAGCTAAAAGGTTTAAATAAAACATTTTTTCAATAAAAGTATTTACTTTATTTAACTTCTAAGAGACGAAAACAACAAAAAATATATGCCATCAACCAAAATATCACTTAGGGTTTCATATAATTTATAATATGGACTATCACAATATAAAAGGAAAAAATTGACTTGGTCCTCCGTGGTGATAAAACTGTTGAAGAGAATTGACATGACCACTTCAGACCTATTCTGATTGAGTATATTTTAAAATCACTTCATCAAAATTAGTGTACAATGCAAATAAAAAAATCAATAAATGTTTGTAAATTAAACAGGCTTATATACAGCGTGCCTTAGAAGTGTTTTTGTACGAAAAATATATTCGATTACTCTCCAGTAAAACCATTTTGAAATATAGTAAAATTTATTAGAGGTGGGAAATGTAAAACAATTCTATTGGTAACGCAATTAGTGTTGACAAGTACTTAAATATTTATATAGTCAAAACTCTATCTTAGATAAATTATTGATACAATTGAAATAAAAAATATCAATAGGATCATCCATCAGATAATGATCACATCATATAGTTGTATAATTGTCTTTCTTTAAATCTATTTAAAACATTGCTTGTATTCCAATTTCCGCCACGTCTTTACTCACTCTGATTCTCATAAAAAATAACAACAAAAGTAAGTAGATTAATGCATCACAGTACAATAACACAATATAAACAAGCCTATACGTAGGTATCTATTACTGGCAAAGTCTGCAAGTGAATGCAGCAATTAATTAGTCTTCAATACCATTTCTTGATCAAAACAGACTTTACCCGTAACTTATCAATCACACTTAAAATACAACTCATTACTTACAATTAACATCTGTAGCACAATTCACAGAACAAAAGAAATATATTTTACAATAGGTCGCTAATATTGGGCGCCGGTAGTAAGCTGCAAGAGGTTACATCAATGGCTCTTAGTTGATGTCGATGCACGCACGATAAATTCAAGAATAGATGGCTAAACAACTTGTTAAAATCTATCTAGAGATCCCTTTTATAACACCGAGGAGGTATAATTACTTGTAAGCGATAGATAGTGGTAGGGTTTCCTAGGTTTGGAATAGACCCGCTTATTATATAAGTCAAGCCTCAAAGTTTCTTTCTCGATTGACCTGACAAGATGGGATATGAATAATTAATGTAGAACACAGATACCCTAAAAGTAATCCTGGCGGCGCCCGTGTCTAATACTTGAAGTATGAATACTGTAGCGTTATAAAAAGGACTAAGTTAGGTGCAGACTGCATTCAATTATATGAGTTCGTTTAAATCTAAGGACAGTCAACACTGAAATTGTAAATGAACACTACTTAGTTCCAAATGATTGCTTTGTATCGATAAATTGTTTAGTTCAGATATGTTAAATTTAATGAGTTACGCTTAGGTACTTTAAATATAAACGATATGGAAATAAAGTAAGAGTCCATTCGCTTTATCCATGTTCCTCAAAGTAATCAATCTTTTCCATACTTCAAATCTGACGTAGTCATAACCAATAGCTTTCAATCACAAGTGCTACAGAAATATCTCCGAGTTAAATTACATTAGGTACTATATTTCGAGAATAGAGAATCTAACTTAATATTCGCTCAACCTGCTTACAACTTTTTAAGTTTCTTTGCTGCAATGTCAAAAAACTGAACAAGGCAACTAAATATAAAATCACAAGACAAGTCACTACTGTCACAGCAACTTTTATAATAAATCTACTCATTAACCACTATTACTTTAATCTAATGTCAAAATCTTATGGATGGAGCCATTACACGATGAATTAGGTAAGTATAATAGTTAGCAGAAATGGGATGAAATGCAGTCTCAATAATTCGATTTGATCACTGGCTTTACTTATCACAAAAGTAACGGTACGCAAGACAATGTTGTGTTTGTTAATATAAAAGAGTTACCTATGAGATTCATTAAAGTAGAAAATAATATCAACTAGCTATATCCTCTCTTTATCTATAGTTACGCGACTCTAATAATATAGTTAATGTTTTTTCTTTGGATGTGTGGAATTGGATAACACAATGACGAGCGTTTGGTGCCGTCATTGTTGTTATGTTGAGGGCATGTTTTGGCTTTGGAAGCCTGAGTTGGGTACTCCGATCTCCATGGACTGGCCGGACGCTATCGAGTCGGGGCTCTGTAGAGACGCGCTGTACACCGGGTTCATAGGCGTCGTCCCGCCGGCCTCGAACAATGTGCTGTCGTATACGCTATTACTCTGCTGGAAAATACAAATATTTGAGATCTAACTACACTAATGTCATTTAGGTCGTCAATTTTATGAATTTCTGGTAATTTTAGCAGTGTATTGTAGAGTTCTGAACAAATATCACAACATTACCTGATAAATGTAATCTGAATCTGTCTTCAAAGAACTGAAGCTCTGTTGGTGCGGCAAGGAAACCTGGTCTTCGTCCATCGGCTCGTCCATCTGAGCCTTGTACGAGAACATTATGCTCGGTTGAGAAACGCTGAAACCATACATAAAAAAGGTATTATGTGATTGCAAATTATAATATCTTCAAGGACAAGGTTAGGCTGGAAACATCCAGGGTTAGAAGTATTGACAATAGAAACGACGGAAATAGTTGTTAAATCAGAAAGGTAATTACTAGAATTTCAACTTTAGTACAAAAGTAAAAGGTTGAAATTATTTTAAATACATTCCTAAGTAGACAGCGAAGTTTAATGGTTCTTGGTGTTGAGATTGCGGTCTATTATGATCGAGAAATCCTTAAACATCATAAAAGAAATACCACTGCCTTCCTCTGACAAAAACAATAAGGTGTAAAATTCATGATGATTTGAGAGCCGAAGATAAAGTTGCATACAAAAAGCTTATCAATACTAGAACTTACCTGAAAAACTCGCTTAGGAATGTGTGATAGACAAGGGGAGTGTATAAAGAGAAGTATAGCCAAGTGGTAACATCGACAACGCAGAGACCAGACTGCATGTTGCCCCAGGCGAGGAGTCCCGCGCCGACGGCCTGCGTCGTGTCCAGTAGCGCCAGTAGCAACACGTACAGGTAGAATGAGAGTTTCGCTGTAAATATATAAAGAAAGTTTCATAAAAATCAGGACAATCTGTATAAAGTTATATGATACACATAGAGAAGAATGATAGTTGAAATGAGAACCTTCTCTGCTAATACATTATGGTTGGTAAATAAAATCCAAATTAAACGAATAATATTTGGCCTTTCAGCCTTTGCCTTGTTGATGATAATATGATAACAGCCAGAAATAAAGCTGTTTTCAAAAATAGTCATCATCTGAACTGAGAGGTCAAATAATTATTTAATGAAAGGAGATCCAGTAAGTATAAAGTTAACTGTTTAGACAATGTATATTATTTACAAATTCCTGATCTTCCAATTTCTTAACTCCAATTATATACTGTATAGTATATAGGAAGATAAAAAAAATACTCAATCTTTTTTATGGGGGGAAAATCATCGTATAACTTCTCCTACCTGGATGAGGCGGGAGGGAGTATTAGACTGTTACTAAAAACCACACCGTTCCTACTCCTGCACTTCGAGCCGGAACCCTGGCAACCCGTTAAGTTCTCCGCGGCTCCGTATCGGCATCAGCCCTATTGGGCCCCATCCGTGGTGGGGTACTCAATAAGACCAGGATTTTGTGTACTTATTGTATAATATTATAATTGAACATTGAACATGCATATTAAAATACCCGTAATTCAGTCAAATAACCAAGAAACGGAACGAACCACAGTTTCACAGATTAAACTTTATGATTTCCGATAAATCAGAATTATGCTTCTTGTATTTCTCCTCATAACACTCGGCGAGTTATTATTGAAGTCTTACAAATGACGCGTGGAGTGAAACAGTGCATAGAAATAACAGTAGGTTTCAATACCATCTAACTCCAACTCAGACTGCAATATTGAAGTTTTTATTACACTGTTATATTTTTATGACACAAGGGCAACTACTGAGCAATAGGACTCTGAATATCTAGTCATTTTCGAAAATCACTAGCACATAGCGCAGTGTGTAATTTTGGTATATGGTAACATGCTTTCTATCTTTTTTTTAATCGTTGGGATTAGGAACACTAGGATTTTCTCCTGTGTCGTGGGTGCGTTTACAAACATACAAGTCCACATACACATGACACCCAGACCCGGAACAACTACCTGTGGATCACACAAAGAGTTGCTCCGTACGGGAATCGAACCCGCAACCGTGAAGTCATCACTAGCCTAGCCTAGGATAAGTTACACAATTTTATTTTATCATCCACCTGTGGGACTTGAGAAATAGGTAGTATATTGTGTTGCTTGTTAAAAAGCCAATTAGGTATGGTGCTACTCCAAAGCAGAGCCGTATTATCCCAAAGGCCAACTAGGCAAGTGCATAGGGCGCCAAATTAAAAAGGGACGCCGCGCCGTGTCGCTGCGAGACGCGCGTGCCATAATGACGTGATAAAGAAAATGGGGGGCGCCTATGATATGTTTACCTAGGGCGCTCTCAACATTTAATACGCTTCTACCCCAAAAGGTATACTTATTTATATATAGTACATGCAACACTGTCTACTTATTTATCAGTCTGCTCTTTAAGAGAATTCAAGCATGAATATTATGACATTGTTAAGTGAGGAAGGATGTATTACTGTGAAAGATAATATGAAGATCTTGAAATTAGCATTACACTGCATGGTCAAGATAACTAGATAAGACATAACATAACATCACGCCTTTTATTCCTGAGGGATAGACAGAGGTGCACATCATGGCACTTAAGGCCACTGTACAATGTAACACCCTCTTTTCGTTATTTATGTTATGAGTCCTATGTAATAGGGAGCGAGCATTTTGCCATAAACTAGGCACAATTCCAGACTGTGCTATTACTGAGAGTTTTTATAACAAACCCAGTAATACTTTTCCCGATCCGGGAATCGAAACCGAGACCCCTTCCCCAGCAGTCGCGACCACTCGGCTCAATATTAAAGTTATCCCAATTACGACAAAATGTTACAGATGTTTATGACCTTGTAACATTTATCTAACTCATCATCCAAATTGTTAGTTAATAACTAAGACAATTTTATCCTAATTAGAAAAGTAATAACATCAGCATCTGATCATTAGCTATACTGTTTGTGTGGAATCGGTGTCCAAGACATGTGAGATGCATGTCCAACTATCCAATAATAAACACTACTATCTTTCAGTTATAAATCACTAGCAAACTGGTTATACTTCCATAATTTATTGTTGTAATTATAAAAGATAACAGAGGACCTAGTACCAGTTTGTTTTACATTTAACAAAGATCAAAACATTTACGGCTCTGATTGGTTGGTTCATTGGAGTAGACTAATTAAAAGCACTAAATGTGGTAATGTTTCAATATCATTACACATAAAACTAAGTCATACTAAGCCCTCTAGAATAGGAAATTATTGTAAACACTACACTCCTATCAAAAGTAATATTTAATGCAATTTGATGAAGAAACAAAACAATTACAACTTGTTAAATAATTGTTATTGTAGGATAATTCTCTGATTTTATGATTCATTACTTCTGTTTAATGGTTATTGCAAAGAAAATATCTAAATCCCAGTAGTTTTTATAGGTAACTGTTTTAATTATAAAATTAATTGTTATATTATAAGATCTTAATTATCACAAGATAATTAAGTAATTTCTGCTATTAATACTTTTATTAAATTTAACTTTTTTTTTGATTATTTCCAATATGTATGTCTTCTTGATAAATATAAAATGTATGTACCTATAATATTACAAAGAAGTTTATAATGAAATTTTCACACACAAATTATCCTTAGGAAATTTTGACATCTAGCTACCATATCTGCAAATCCTCCTAGCCTGAACAAGTTACTAAGATTCATACTTATTCTGAAATTGTCAAACACCGCGCGGTCTCCGGTGACCGCAACCTATTGTTCTTTAATTGTGTCTATAATGACGGTACTCAACGAGTTCATCATTAAATTGCATAGTTAACTTAGCTTTAACATGGTGGCTAGCTTTGCATTGGATACAGAATTTTAAAATAAAAACAAACAAAATACTCACTTGGTAAAGCTAGATATTCTCTGAGTGGAATCCATGGCAATAGCAGTATTAAGAAGTAAATTAGTGCAAAGACTAAAGATGATGTAAACCAGAACAGCATCCCACCATGTCCAAACAGGTCATAATCTCTGGTGTCCACATGAAACATGTCATCTGGCATAACAATCTCAAGAGTACCTTGTGTCACAGTGAATGCTAGGGACAATAGTGATGTTGCCAGTAACACATATCTAATACTGCTGCGGCTATCCAAATGGCCTGAAACACACAATGATTAATTAGAATCTGTTGAAAACTCCTTGTTGTTAAATATAATTGTGCTTTTATCAACAACACTACATAACAATAATAATATAATATAATTTAAACAATAATCTGGTGAAAGTCTGTATCAATGACTTTGATGACAAACAAAACAAGGTATTGAGACAAAAACTATGAAGGTCAATAAAAAACTCACCAAATGCCAATCCAAATATGACAACACTCATCTCAGTTGCGAGCAGAAAAAATCTCACCATGACCCACAACACCTTGTCCACCAGGCCACCCAGTGGCATGGCAGCATTTACAGTCATGGACACCGCACATCGCACCAGACTTATGATCACATTGCCCCATACCAATGTGTAAAACGTCAAGAATATAGGGCTGCTGGTAGCACGCAATTTTAGCTGAGCTTTGTTAAACCTTACCACTAAGAAAAGCACAAACAATGCGTTTGGTATCAAAATAATTAAATCCCAAATACGGACCCTGCGAAAGAACAGATAATGAGCCACACAAACGCAACAAAAAGCACCAAGGACGAAGAACATTAACATACCTTGAATTATTTATTTCGTAGTATAAAACATATTTACAAAATGTGTCCTCTGTTACAGGAGGAAAATCTGAGCCATTGGTACCGTACATCATCTTTACAATCTACTAATGTTTTGCCATTTAGTTTGTTACGAAAGCGTCTTGAGCCCGTGGCAGCATTACTCCAATAATCAAGTTATTGGAATAGGCCACTGTTACGTCAACTTAATCCTATCATTATAAGCATACACGTTTGATTCTGCACCAGTAGAGACTAGCTTTCTAATTCTATATACTATAATGATGACACTATTAAACGATCACACCACGAGATAAAATAAAATTATTGGGAAAATAATTCTTAATCATTCATTCGCTTCTGCGCTTTACTATCTTCCATAAATGACATTGACAGATTTTTGATAGATTGGAATAGACATTATTTACAAACTCGTCTCAGCAGTGTGGTCACAATAGAGTTGTACCACAGTTGATTTATAAATTCTTCTTAAAGACTTCATGGGCATTTAAGATATCTGAAGATCAAAAATAGGCTAATGAAAATTAAAGAACATTAAAAACTAAACAACGAAAACTAAAGAACGAATAATTACGTGTTTCAGGAATTTTCGAAAGCGTTCTTAAAAGTTATACAAATAGAAAGACTCATATAAAGAATCGAAAGAGTGAAATCAAGGATCTTTTTTCCAACGTCCTGGGATGGGCAGGCTCACTGACCTCTATATAATAGAGAGGTCAGTCAATAGGCAGCAATGTAGGCAGGCTATAAATGAAGAAGTCCGAATCCAAAATATTGGACCTTATTCACTTTAACATACGAATAATCTGTCTATAAAGTCTATGGTTCTCTTCTCCTTCTATTCTATCAGTGTCACTGTCAATCTTAAAAAAAACAAATGGTTAAAATTATACTTGTATTATTGTGGAAAACAAAAAAATGAAATAAAATTTCTTATCATCTATCTTACTATAAAATGTTGAGTCAAGTAATCTAGTGCTGATAACTAACGAAATATTCACTAAAATCTAATAATATTAGGCAACCTTTAGCGTTTTACAAGCCGTATAGAGCAATACTCATGTGTTTATGTAATACATGTTAATATCAATATTTCGTTTCATCCGCGCCTTATAATGTCCAGTAGATACAGATTGCTGAGAAACACATTTTCTAGAGTAACTAGCAGTTTTCGATCATTTCATAATGCATCACTTAAAGTTTACAACATTCCTAAGACTACAAAACCATGTGTACTAGCTTTTTCCCTATTCACTTGGCTTGGATTTGAAAAGAAAATGAGTGCTGAAGATGAACTTGTTCACACAATAAAACACTGCATTTTGTTTATTCAGCGAAATGAATATGAGAAAGCTGAACAGTTACTTCATGTAGCATTGAGACAGGCTCAACAAATTCATCACGAACTTGGTATAACTTATGTTTATGACGTAATGGCGAATTTGGCTCTTCAGAGGGAAGAATTAGATAAAGCTAAACAATTATTTATTGCTGTTACACAAAGAATTATGGCGGATGGTGCACAAGAAGATGATCCTAGAGTTATTCATCTCAGTGTGAAATTAGCAAGAGTTAGCCATTTGAAGAAAGATTATTCTACAGCACAATTAGGTTATGACTGGTGTATAGAGAAATTACATAGGTTATTGGAGACAGACCAATCAGATGCAACTCTAAAACTGCTAGCAATGGCCGAAGATTGGTATGGCAGACTGTTTGTAGACCTCAACAGATGTGAAGAAGGCTTAAAGCTCATGAAGAGTTCTTTTGATAGGATGAAATTAGTGCCAGATATGGAGAAAGAAGAATTAGTATTTCAATTAAATGATATTGGTACTGTATGTGATCGCCTTGGACTTGCTGATGATAGTATAAAATATTTCAAGGAAGCTATTGAATTGGCAAAGTCGTCAAAGATTGAAGATGTAGGCACTATGTATGTTAATTTAGGAAGAGCCTATATCAAAACACAACTATTAGATGCAGCAAGAAAGTCCTGTGGCTACGCTTGGAAGTTGGGAGTTATGTCAAAAAATCAAGATGTAAAGCAAGAAGCGGAACTATGTATGAAACAAATAAACAACCTTGTATAGATAACTTTTTATTTAAGAAAAATAGTGTTGGCATGTTTCACTTACATTAATGTTTTATAGAAATAATATTGTGAACTAAATTAATAAAATCTCATTATGTCCACCCCTGTGACAAAAAATTGTGGCACAAAACTAATACAATAGTTTTTTTTATTAATAAATTCATTGCGAAATGAACTGTTTGCAAGTTAGTTACATACAAATGTTAAACCTATTTTTTTATAAATAAATGTATTTATTTTATACAGCACTCTCTTTTGTGACACTGAAAGGTTCTGACACAACTTCTGCTTTAGTGTCCACAATTACCACATCCTTCACTGGGCGGTCATTGGCAGCAGTCACAGTTTTCTCAATCTTACGAACAACATCCTGTAAACAAACATCTATGTTATTTAGAATCCTAGAAAGCTTCATGGGTATGATTGACAGTCCTCAGAAATGTTATTTGTTTTCACTTGTCTCTTTTGTAGCTCTGATTTCAAAGTGTAATTATTCACGCAAGAGAACAAAACAATGCAGTAAGTGCATAATTAGTTTTGTATTTACACAATTGACTGTAAGATTTATTACAATACAATGTTCTTCAAACACTAGTATTAATTTTAATTGTGTTTATATTTAAAACAAAGTGCGTTACAGCAGTTAATATTACAATCAATGGTTATAAAAAATAAATTAAAAAAAACTAGTTTTCATGATATTACTGCATAGGAATTTGACTTCCTGTCCTAAGCTTAAACCAGCTGTGTTATTCTAAACAAACCAGTTGGCAGTTTGGTGTAATTAATCCATAGTCATAATTTTGTTGCATTGTTTATTTTATGCAGCTACAAAATACAATATAACTAATACGAATTTAGGCAGGAATTACTTACCATGCCTTCAAGGATCTTTCCAAAGACAACATGTCTGCCGTCTAACCAGGGAGTCTTAATTGTAGTGATGAAGAATTGAGATCCATTGGTGTCTTTGCCAGCATTGGCCATGGACAACCATCCAGCACCATAGTGGCGAAGCTTGAAGTTCTCGTCTTCGAAACGTTCGCCGTAAATACTGCGTCCTAATAAATAATTATTAATTTAATATCAGATATGTCAATGCAAGGGCATGCAATGTTCATTGGAACTTTCAGTCGGGATGTTGTATATTGCATTTTTCAATAGGAAAATATGATAAATGTAAAATTTATATAAATACCAAAACTAGTATTCATGTAAGTACCTAATAGATAATGGACCAGTATATGAAAAAATAAGATAAACATTTTTTCAACATGATAAGTTCAGTTAGAGATAAACAACAAAAAGTTGTTTTGAGATCAAATATTTTAAAAGCTGTAGCTGTATCTTACTTTCGAATGACAAAATTTTTTACTCTATGTTAAAAATTTATTGGTTATAAATTTCAATTGGTAGTTAGAAAAGTGAAAGTAAATCTAATTGGAAGTTTTATCAATCCAATCTTTATGGGTTGAGAAGATTATTTCCAATCTGAAAACAATAGCTAGCTATGTTTTACGTTTTTATTGCTTATTGGGGTATTGTACTGGCCTTTATGTATTCTTAAACAGCATTGTGTGAAGATTTACTGCCCACTTTGTAAAGGTATACACAGTCACAATTCAGTCACTCACCACCAGTGCCATCTCCCTTTGTGAAGTCTCCTCCCTGGATCATGAAGTTGTCAATGACTCTGTGGAACTTGCTACCTTTGTAGCCTTCACCTTCGGGCTTCTGAGCCAACTGGAAGAAGTTTTCTGCCGTCTTCGGAACTGTCTTACCAAATAATCCGATAACAATGTCACCAATGATTTCATCACCCATTTTCATAGTAAAGGTGACCTAAAATGTAAGAATATAAATGAGTTTTGCTGTAACTGATAAATAAGTTCACAAAAAGCCTCTGCCAAAATTATGGAAACTGACATAGAATTTCTGAAAAGTTATTCCAACATTTTTGAAGCTTATGCAGCAAATGCAATCATGACTAGTCTAGTAGGCTCTTATTAATGGAAATTGTCAAGATGTAAGATTGGTTACAACACGCGAGGGTAGTTGCAATAAAAACGTAATTTATAACAAAGGAATTTTAAATGTCATACATTACAATAATATATAATTTTATAGGTACTAGGAGGTTTTCTGGTATTCTACAAGATTCCAATAGGAACTGAAAACTGGTATGTAAATAAACTTAGCCCTTTTCTTACATGTTGTGAAAACAACTTAAATGCCCTTCCAATTTACTTGGGATGTGTGGACCAATCATAAGCAGGCACATCATACATTACAATGCCGATTGAATCAAAAAACAAATATCCTATTGGCGTGATTTTATATGTTCCTCAAATAAAGTACAGTTCAATTTATTACAATTAGAAACTAGGTACTTGTGAACGACACGTAGTGTCTATACAGGATACAGGTACTATAAAAATAATTGAATTATGCAGTGAATACTAAAATGCTTTGTAGCAACTTCGGCCAACAAAACTTGTAGCGTCATCACAAAAGGTCACCGACCGATGATCAGAAATCACGAATCTTCGTTGGCCCACCGTTATGTGATTTCACGAAACTCAATTGAATGACAATAGATAAGCAAGTGGACAACAATACGCACCTTATGAGTTACTTTAGGTCCTTTGGGAGCATCGTCTGATCGAGCTGCGGCAATTAATAGAAGGAAACCAAGAGCTGCTGCGAAAGCGCCCATGATTAAAAGTTTTGCCCTTTTTCTTATTATTTTTACGAATTAATCCTAACTAGTAGGATATTCTTATATATTAATTTATTGGGATAAACTGAGACCGCGTGTTTCTCCTTCGCCGGCAAACGAACAATAGGTCGCTCACCCAACACGTAACGCAACAAAAACGAATGAAAGAAAAATGATCGCGTCGTCGAACGCTCACTCGTCGGCCTTCCTGACGACAACACTTGCTTGTCAAAATTACAACCAATGTCAAATCAGAAAATCACACGTCATTGCAAAGTTCAAAACTCACAGGTTAAAATATTATTTTATTGTAAAATTAGGCTGACTAGGAAATAGTGGAAAATAAATGAATATTAACAACAACTGACAACAAGGACTGATATATGATCAAGTGGTTTGAAGCCAAAAGGACCTCAAAAATGGCGGATCTCCGCCCACAATAGTGTTGTAACTACGTCGACATAACCTATCGACTATCGACATAGGCAATTCAATGTAAATATAAATATACCTATTATACTCTTTGTTTATAATAATAACTTATTTAATATACTGAAATTGTCTTAGTGGGTTCTCAGGGGCGTGAAATAAGGTTCGACACACGAATGACTGTAAAACTATATATTGGAATAAACTTTAAACTATATAAACAAGGTTGCACAATAATACAAAAAGATAAAACTCAAATATACGTCACGGCTCCAGCGCGGGACTCATTGTTCTGTCGCGTGACGCTCCTACGCAAGCGTCGTCGTGTGGTCAATGACGGGGAGGCGGGGGAAGAAGAATAGAGAGGTGGCGTGTTGCCACTAGAGTTGCGCGCGTGTGTCTGAAGCAAACCAAAATCGAATTGCCGCGTTACATCCTGCCCCTCTGACTTAGACATAGCGCCCTCGCGTCTTGGGTCTTCCGCGCCTACGCTTTTCGTTAATAGGCGGAACCAGCCTACGAAGGAGTAGTCTTTGAGACGCGATACTTACCGAAATTCTCGCCACTACCTAGCATACGACGTGGTATGGACTTCGGAGTCTGTCCGCGGGGCGCATCGTCGCTACCCTGGGTTTTTAGAAGAAGCAGACCTCCCGTTCCTGCGGAATATTCCAACGCAGGATGACGTTTGTTTCCAGAGCTACGTTTCTCACTAACTCGGTTTTTCTACGACCTTTACGAGCGTCAAACAGCGCGTTTGACGTACGTCGTAAGTGTGGAATAAAATTCATGACGGCGGCAAGCCGTTCCTCCGGGCCCTCCCCCTGCATTGAAGCTACTCTAAAGATTAGGTGACAAACGATAACGTTCTCGGCTCGCGTCAGACTTTAAACGACACCGAGTGTAATTGGTCAAGGGTTCTTCCTTCGCAGAGCGGTCGGCTACCTCCAACAGAGAAGCCGTTGACTTTACCCTCTGGTCAACCGTCAGCGCGGCCGGCTCCATGCTATCAGTGGTAGGTAAAGCGGGGCTGGTGACAAACGGATGCCAACTCGACTCGTCGTTAAAACGCCAGCTGCACTGTGGTTAATCCAACAGGATATTCGCTTTTTAAGGGGAAATTTTTTTAAGGGGGGATAATCATCGAATGTCTTCTCCCACCTGGGTGAGGCGAGAGGGAGTGTCAGACTCTTACTGACTAAAAACCACCCCGTTCCTACTCATGTACTTCGAGCCGGAGCCCCGGTAAACCGATAGGTTCTCCGCGGCTCGTCTTTTTTTAATAGCCCGTTAAGCAAGCATACGGTTCACCTGATGGTGAGGAATCGTCGCTGCCCATATGGACATCCGCAACACCTGCTGAACTACAAGTGCGTTGGCAGTTATTTTGAGGTGGATTTAACCTTTCGTGTGTCTAAGCGTGGATCCACGCGAGACACAATGTATTTTTATTGTGTCTCATATCGGTGCATTCAAGCGGTTAAAGATTGGAAATTTGGGCATTGGGGAGGGCAGGAATGGAACTCGACAACGTGCCGACACACAACGCAAGCGTTGTTCGAGATCGGTTTTCTTCACAGACTGATATTATGTTTCACATATATGGAATATACATCGTACATATGCATCGTAATGTATGGTAAGAAATTTTCTATCAACTGTTTATATAATGTAGGTAAATAAAACGTTTCAAAGTATTCATGAAATAAATATTTATAATATACAATATTTTGCGCCGTACATGTAATTGAATATCCATCTGGAACTCCATAGAGCAGTAAGACAATTTTATAGCCTCAAATCCAGCTAGGTAAGTAACTAGGTACGTATTCGGAGTATCTTAATTGATCATTAATTAAACAGACAATGAATTGATCAAAAAGGTTGTATATTGCGTCAGCCTCATAATAATATAATACAACAAATAATTTACGTTTTACGGTCAAATTATTCAAAGCATCTGTTGAATCAATTTTGCTGGAACAAGTTAATTAACCTGTTCTAGCGGGATGCAATTGTCAATTCCTCCATTTCGAATATTTGTGCTCTTATTAATAATCGTTTAAAGGCCGCTTTAAACTGTACTGCATCCCGGTTGTTATTAAACGCGCTACGTGCTCTGACAGCCGAAAAAAATAATTATAATATGTGGTCCTGATTTATTTTATATAATGGAATATATTTCATGATCTTCGTGTCTTTCATTAAGTGCCAATATAGTGCAATAGCGGTCTTCATGTTGACTATAAGGCTAAGAAATCCAGTTTTTCTTTTCGAATCTATAACTGGTTGTCCCGTCGGTAACTTTAATTTTTATTAAATTTTCTATAGGACTGTCGAAAAACACTGCAACTAGCCCAATATTTTCGCGGCATATGGCCTTCTTCCATCCAGTGGGTCGTATTGACTGACTATTCAGAATGTCAAATATGTCATATGACGTTTTTATATAAGTAATGGTTCCTTCTGCACTTTTAATTTTTTTAATTTTTAATTTGTTTTCATAAAAATTTAAAGCATCGATGGCCGAAATGCTCTGCAGTTGAGTGGCCAGAAGAACTTTATTTTTTTGTTTTGCAAACATTATATTTGCTTGTGCTACATTGTACAGTGGCATTAGGTGCCGCAATGTTTACCTCCTCTGCTTGCCTACCCCTTCGGAAATAAAGGGAGTGATGTTATGTATACGTGCTTTTGTGAGTTTAGTAGCCACGTGCAATCTTTTCTTTTCTTGAAGATCTTGCAGGCGCGCTAAGTAGCTGAAGCTGATTTTTCTGCCACTTACATCATAAAACACCATCAACTCTCCTAAGGCATTTCTAAATAATTTAATGGCATGGCAGGGGTCAATGAAAATGTGAATTGATTGTAGGTAAACTGCAATGCAATGTCAAATTTTGATTTCTACACATCCCAGTAATGAAAACATTGTGAAATTTGCAACAGGGCCGTCACATATAACGCTTATTATTTTCATACCCACTTCGTTGCACATTTCTATGCAAATTTTCAATAGTGCTGCTTTTAGTCCACCCGTCATTAAAGTTATGAAAAAATATCCGACGGGTAATTTCTGTCTTTCGTTGATGCAGATAAGCAAAAACATCAAACATTGACTGGCGACATCGAGACTCTCACTATCAATAGTGGCGCCAAAATTAACACGCCCGCAAAACATTTCATTTTGCACATCCCAACAAAGAAATTTTCTAATCGCCATCTCGTCAAACGAGAATGCACATACCACAGGATAATTGGTTTGCTCCACATATGATTTTAATGTCTGAAATGCTTTAGAGCAAAAGCCAGGGTCAGCATTTACCCGTTCATACCAATTATTTAGGTTCGATGATGTCATAGGCGTATTTTATGTACTTCGTAATGTTATATAATATGTACAATATTATGTTTTTTTTCTCACCCTAAGGTTATAGCGGATTTTCTGATGTCTTCAGAATATTGTCCCTCTAAAGGAAGACCTTTATCTTTCGAGATTTGCCTTTTGAGAACACAGCTTTCAACCAAATCCGCAGTCTCCATATTTATTGAATTTCTTTGTTTTAATTCCTTCATAATATTAGTGATATTTGCGATTTTTTTACCCTGTCGCCTTATTTTTTCGTTAAGTCTTTTAATGTGTTTTACTTGTTTCTGAATTTTTGCCTTTAATTTATTAATTATATGAAGTGCGTCATCCTGGAACAAATCAAAGTTATTTACAGATTTCAAAATGGAGAAAAATCAACTAAAATCAATCAACCTTTCTAAATTAAGCAGGTTTTATGATGACCGCTTCCCGTATTTCAGACGGCGGGTTGTTTAAAAATGGATTGTAAATTGACAACATTACATATTAAAATTATACACTAAAGAAGAAGTATCTTCTTTAGTGTATAAATTAATCACATAGATCAGTAGATCTATGTGATTAATTTATGGTTTATAAATTTAGTCTTTTTTAAATTAGTTACAGCATATAAAATCATTACCGATATATTTGCAACACCATCCTTCGAGATGACTCCAGTAATTGTTCTAGGTTCATTTTCAGCCACACATCTGGTTGGAGGCTGTAACATATTTTAACTTAAGTGCTGAAATATAACCTATTAGACAAAATAATGGCCTTGTGATCCTTTAGTTAAAAGTAACTAATTAAATAATCATGTAAATAAAATAATAAAGCAATTGAATTCAATTAAATTAAAAATATATCAAAATTTAAAAAATATAATAAAACTAATGCAGCAGCAGAAATTCAAATCATAACAGAACAAGGTATTGTTTATTATTGGTATGCGGTGACATAACACAAGTAAAACAAAATTAAAAAATGGAACAAAATGAATTTAAAATTAAATTAAATAATTCTTATGAATTGTCGTATAATTAAGAGTGATAAAATTGGAAAACAAAAGGCCATCATCTCCTATCTGGTTACTTTGAGTACGCCGAAACAAACTCAAAGTTAAATTCCAAAAAAGGATATTTTATTATTTCTACATTTAAACAAATTCTGAAAACACTCACCATATACTCTGGGTTACTATGTGGCATATTTACAAACTGTATGTCGTAGACCGAGGCACTCGCAACTGCATTTTGGTCTCTTTCGGACATTATGTCAGACGTTTTTAGTCTAGTCAGAGGCTGCAACACGCAGTTAAATGTTAAATTATTTTTATTGATAAGAAAAGTAAAAACAAAATTAAATTTCTAAATAAATATCTATTTAATATAAACTTATAGATATATAGGTATATATCATAAATATTCTCTAAATGTACAAAGGTTTAATAAAATGTTAAGTTTATCCCTATAAACTTTTTGAAGAGCTCTTCAAAAATTGTTACCAAAACTAATATAACAAGTACATAATGAATAGTTTTTCCTATGAATTACCAATAGAGCTTGTGACGGTAGGGCTCCATCTCGTAGTTTAACTATATTCATTGTTCGGTTAAAACATGACGCTTCAAAATGAAGTGAACAAACATAGATATGTTTTTTTGTAGTGTCTATGTTCTCCACACCAATTGTCTCCAACCATTTACTTCTGCGTGGTTCAATCACAGGCAAACTACAAAAAAATATATATAACACTATTGTATTATTATGTTACGTATATATAGATTATGGTAAAGAACGTATGAATTGTATGTAACTTGATATTCATTGTCGATAACATGAAGTTTTCAAGAGTACCTACTTAATGTTTTTGCATCTCGTCATTGTGTGAAATCAAAGCATTTTACATATCAGAGTTTATATAACTCTTTGTTCCACGTTTGAAGCATTTATTATGTACAGTAAAATTATCGATACGGGAACAGTCATGTACATCTCTATATTTAAAAAAAAAGTTTATGTGGTATTTCAACTAAAACTGATGAAAATAAGCATTGCATTTGTTAGAAAAGTACCTACTGCCTTTCGTCAATTTGCAGCAAGCACACTTGGATAGTTTAAAAAACAGAGATATTTTAATGAAATATTGCAGTACTTACCGATGTAATGTTACACCTGCCGGTTTACTGACTTGTTTGGTTCTACACCCAATAATACTACACCCGGGCATCGCTCTTCTTACTAACCGTTAATTTATATTTTTATCACACACAAAAACAACAAGAATTCTACAATATTTTCTAAACAAGTTAGTGGTAACCAATAATTTGATATTGATAGCTGACGCACCACTGACATGCACTGATACTGATAAGAGAACTCCAACTCTGTGGACACTTCAGCACGACTATAAAATTTTGATGACGTCACAAAATTATTGCCAGAATGACAATGATGTGTTGTCTCTTTCTGCTTAGGCAGAGACATAAGTAAAAAAGAAAAAGCAGTATAGTTATGAATTTACCGTTTTTAAATTTATTAAATTCTACCCGTAGACAATAGTCGTGACATCTATGTTAAAATTATTACCTATGGAACCTGTATAAAATGTTTTTCATATTAAAAATAATTTTCTTATCGCCTTGTATTGTGTATAATTTAATTATGTGATTTGTACCGAAGAAACTTGTTGATTCTGTTTATAATTAAAGTTATATGGATTTAAAACAAAATTTAAGTTTAGATGATGCTTTATATTGGAATTATTAGGTATGGAAATAGTTTGAATTCATTCAAATAAAATAGATGTTGTGCACTCCTACTATTATGAACCTCCTTGTCTGTTGCAGAAGTGAATGGACTACAGAAATGATTGAAGCACAAATGGGTCAGTGGTGTATTTATGTGTGCGTGTACTTATAACGCTGCAAATGTATGGAGCACGGAGCACAGATATATTAAAGAAGGAGATATTGGAATCAAAAATGTATGCAAACTCGTGAAGCCGCAACTGCCCCTCCATAAAACTAATATTACACACACAGTTCTGACAAAACAATACTACGAATAAGTGCACACACACACACACACACGTGGCATCGATAACTCGGTAATTCAAATATAAGCCTTATTCTTTATACGACAGCGCACATTCTCCTATGATTTACTCACACTAAAACAATTTGTCACTGTGTGTTAGGAGTGGGATCTACCTTCGCCGTAGTGACTTGAGGATATCGATAGCTACCGATGAATAGAGGTATATCGATAAATTTATTACAAAGGTTTTGGAAATATAAAAACGACATGAAGCCAACAAAATATTATTTAATTATAAAAAATATTTTACACATGGTAACCGATGCCATCACTTCTACAGTTTTTGTTTTGGCTTATATTTCTGCAGGAAACCACTGCACAATGCGGTATTTTATCGTTTGTTTTACGACCGCGCGTGACAACAGACTAACTCGTGGTGACGGCCATATTTTCCTACATTGAGCAGAACGCTCAATTGCGAGCGTCACGGACACGCCCCCTTGCCACTTCTCTTTTTTTAATACTTCTGTGGTATGGAGTGTACTCTTATCATATCAGTGAGTGTGTCACGGAGAACCTAATTTGTTACTGGGGCTCCGGCTCGACGTGCAGGAGAAGGAACAGGGTAGTTTTTAGTAGTCAGTAAGAGTCTGACACTCCCTCCCGCCTTACCCAGGCGGGAGCAGCCATTCAATGATTTACTCCCCTTAAAAAAGAAAAAAAAATGTATGGAGTGTAGTTTAATGATAAGCCCTGTTACGCGGCAGAATGTCCTTCGTGTAAATGTGTATGTATTCTGTGTGTAAATCTATAGTAGCCAGGTGCCAATTATTCCATAGGTGCCATAGTCATTGTTTCAAGAGACTAGGTCTGCCTTTTTCAACGTCCTGGATTGATAAGATATGTACTCAGTATGTAAAAATTGATTTATTAAAATACTTTGGTTTTATTTTGCTATTTTGTCAGAGAAACATATTTTATAATATCAGTTGGGCTCTTGTGACCAATTTTAGGCGATTATTACTCAGTTTGAAAAGCTCTATCAGTCATCAACGTCCTTGTCAATCAGTATGATTTAATCCGAAACAGACTTTAATCCAACCCTCCAATCTGGAACACGCCTAAAACAAGAAAATATTAAATTAGAAATACTTTAATTGATCAAAATGCATTTAAATAGGATCGATCAACCAAAATCTTACAGTTTTTTTATATTTTCTAGACTATTTGTGTTTATTTTTATTTCAACTTCTTTACTATTAGATCTGTCACACCATTGCTTTGTTGCTTTTTGGAAGTGCCTTATTGTTGCGTTGTCTGCGACTTTATCTTCTCGATCTTTAGATATTAGGCCTTCTCCGTCTTCCTTCATGTTTGTCATGTCTTCGCTATAACATTTTCTTATGAAGCTGAAAGAAATAAATTAGAGTATTCAATTTATTTATTTGTGCAACTGCAGAATCCTAAATTTCGTGTTCTATTACCCACCGTATTTTATCTTGACTTGCAGAATGCATAATCGAATCTCGTTTACCTGAAACTTCGGTTATTTAACATCAAGAATTATTTATTTACAATTCTAACTAGTAACTTCTGACAAGAAGTATGTGAAGTATTCTTACTATTCTTAGGACTTTATCAATCATACTAGTATACAAGCGGGTTGCGAGCGTTTTCAAAGCGGAAGGGGTAAGGAATATGTTACAGACACGAAAGCGAATGATTAGGCTGTTGTACTTACTGTTATAACTACTGTCTTTAGCACTTTTCCTTCTATTAGCCTTAATTTTATCAGTTTCATTTACTTCGTGTACCGGCTGTCCCTAAAAGATACAAAGTATAAAACAATGTCACTATCCGCCGTCTGTCAGTCCCTATGCATGCTTAGATCTTTAAAACTACGCAACGGAGATTGATGCGGTTTTTCTAAGAGATAGGGTGATTCTTAAGGAAGGTTTATACGTATAATACATGCATATTGCACCCGTTTGAAGCCGGGGCGGGTCGCTAGTTTTATCTTATTACCTTTGCTACTGATTTGATTATTCTTCTGTTGGAACGCCATTGATCAATAGCTTTTTGTTGTTGCTTCTTAAGATAAATATACTTTAAATACCATTGAATATGGCAAATAACATCATGTTCATGAATTCCTAAAACAATAAAAATGCAATAATTATATACATAAAAGATTTCTTACTACTTTCAAAGCCTGTACCTTGTAACTTTGGTAAAAGTTCACTTAAGAATGTATCATATCCTGGATAATGTTGTATGTCATGGATGTGCTCATCATGGGAGCCATCAATTAGGCTCCCTAGGTGTTTTTGCCAGTGGTTTACGAATATGTTATGGTGATATTCGTTCCATCCTCCATATCGATTCGCACTATTCATCATAAATTCTTGGAATTGTTGAACTTCCTGGATTCAAAATAGAATTTCTTGTAATTAAAAATATGTATGCTATAAAAGTGCAAAATAAACTTGCGTCGGTTATGAACATATCTTACCACACACTTAAATGGTGACGCTATTATAGTTTTTACAGGACTAGGCACAATCTCGTTGTATTTCGCAGTTTGAATTCTAACATTCTTTTTGAACTTATTCACTGAAACCAGATCTTCTTTCACCTTAAAGAATATCAAAGTTAATGGATTTTTTATACAGATTTCAATAATAAACACCAAATGTAATGGAATGAGTACTTACAGTTTGATTCAATTCTACTTCAGCGGCCTTAAGGCCGGTTAATTCAGATTGTAAATAAGATTTAAATGCTCTAATACGGTTTTCCAATTCAAGAGTAGATTTTTTAACATCATCGATGTCTAGAAATAATGAAAAAGCAACAAGTTACCACAACCGTTCTCTGTTTATGCAACATTACAGTTATTGAAAGTAGAAAAAATATAAATTGATCTTTATTTATTATTTATAGTAATAATAAGAAAATATCACACGGTATACTAACCAAGGTTTTGTAACAATTCTTTCGAAGAAGTGCCTGTTTGTATATCTTGGAACAACAACTTTATTTCCCGGTATTTATTTTTTATTTTGTCAACAAAATGTTTGAATTCGTTTGGGGAAGATGAGTATAACGTATCATTTCCTTGTGAATTTTCACTAATACATTTTGTTATACTTTGAAGAAGTAGACTCTCTTCTATTTGCAGTCTCTTTAATTTAGCAGACACGCTAGAAGTATTTGATACATCAGATACACTATGACTGGACTTTGTAGATGTCAAATCCATAGTACTTCTTTCTTCTAATTATCACATTCATTAAAAACACTTTGGAATATACATACAATTACCACTGTCCTGTACTCAATGGAAAATTATATTGATCAAACTTTCAATCATTTCAAATTACCCGCTTGACAACAAATTACAGATTATATATGATAGATAATATGAATCATTGCCATTAAAAAAATTATAAAATCGACTAAAACATTACATTACAGATACATCCGTAAAATTAGAAAAAAATAAATGACATTTCGACATTCTCTGTGATTCTCTGATTCTGACTGAAGACGAAATTCTGGCGAAAAAAGGAATTTTATGGAATGGAAAGTGAAATTACAGGGGAATATTCTTCAAGCATATAAAAATGTTCACTCGATCCAGATTGTTTTTCTCCAGGACCATCCCATTACGCGTCGGTTTTGTTTATAAAACATTTATTTACATAATAATTTCCAGTTGGAATATACATACTTAACCTTAATATTGACCGTTTTCAGAATGTTTTTAACGTGGATTACCTAAACAATACATATAATAAACCCCGGTTTTTATACAGCATAACGACTACAAGAAGTCGGTCTACTACTCCGCTGAATACTATTGTCATGTTCGTTCCACAACAAGAGGTAAGTTGAATTTTGTGGAGGCATATCTTCCTATGAATTCCTATGAATGTTGAAACATTCTCATATGTAATTGACAAAGCTTGAAAGCTAATCAATTACATAGCAAAATATGTACCTAATTTTACAGTAAAGAAACACAGTAAACTTGCATACTTTGTATGAGATCATGTTCAAAATTTCATCATTTTATTATCAAAAAATTTTCAAGTACCCTGTTTTTAAAATATCTTATGTTTTTAGGCATGGATTGTGGAGCGTATGGGTAAATTTCACAGGATTCTTGAACCAGGACTGAATCTTTTGTGGCCAATAGTAGATAAGATTAAGTATGTACAGAGCTTGAAGGAAATTGCTATTGATGTTCCGAAACAGAGTGCCATCACATCGGACAATGTTACATTGAGCATTGATGGAGTGCTGTATCTTCGTATTATTGATCCTTATTTAGGTAAAGTTTATTACTTCCAATAAATGTTTTCCTATTTCCTGAATGTGAATCATCAAACAGCTCTTATCATTTTTATTTAAAACATTATGTATTTTGATATTTTTTAAATACATACATTTTAAATCATATATTTATATTCTAGCCTCATATGGAGTTGAAGATCCTGAGTTTGCTATCACACAGCTGGCTCAAACTACTATGCGTTCCGAACTTGGTCAAATTTCACTGGACAAGGTATTCAGGGAGAGAGAATCTCTGAATGTTGCCATTGTTCATGCCATCAATAAAGCTAGTGAGGCTTGGGGCATCACTTGTCTGCGATATGAAATTCGTAAGTGTTAATACTTATAAATATAATATAAACTAAACTGTCAAACACCAAGCGGTCACCGGTGACCGCAACCTATTGTTCTATAATTGTGTCTATAATGACGGTACTTGACGAGTTAAATTACAGTTACAGAATATGTGTCAGTTTTAGATATTATATTAATTATTTATTATTGTTATTAATTGATTAAGTATTGGTTATTACTTGATTAAATCCTTATTAGAGTAAAATAGTATCAACATTTCACTAACCTCTGACCTACAGTCTAAAAGTGATAATATTTATGTGTAATCATAGTGACACATTATTCTAATTTATAGGTGATATCAAACTGCCGACTCGTGTGCACGAGGCTATGCAGATGCAAGTGGAAGCTGAGCGGCGGAAAAGAGCAGCCATCTTGGAGTCTGAGGGAGTGCGCGCGGCTGACATTAACGTCGCCGAGGGCAAGCGGCAAGCTAGAATATTGGCATCAGGTAGGACTTCCTCACAACTTGACTGACTACCTCTGACATACAGTACTTCTGATAAATTTTGTCATAAAAATCTATATTATTGTCAGATTAGGTCAATTGAATCCTTAGTAATATTATAAATTTTTAGTGTATTTGTTAGTATGTTTTTTAAGTGTTGCATAATTACTTTTCGACAATAATTTAAATTTTCGGTTGTATATTTCCAGAGGCTGAAAAACAAGAACAGATAAACAAGGCGTCTGGTGAGGCACAGGCTATGCTTGCTGTTGCTGAAGCTCGTGCCAGGGGACTGAAGCTTATTGGAGGTGCTCTGGCTCAACAGGTCTTTAATTTTACATAATTATAATACATAGATTTTTTTAAAATTCAATTATTCATTACCATTACATTTATTTTATTATACAAATGACATGAGAAAGCTTACCTGACATGTACTGTACACTGTACATATAGCAATTATTTATTGTTACTGATTAAAACGTATTTTCACAGGATAGCAAGCATGCCGCCTCCTTGACGCTGGCTGAGCAGTATGTGTCTGCATTCAACAAACTAGCGAGAACCAATAACACACTCATTCTACCGGCGAATGCAGGAGACGTGTCCAACTTAGTGGCTCAGGTACCTTCTAACTTCAAATGAAATGCTCAGTATTAAAATTATTGTTTGGACATATATATTTTCTTTAATCTAAAACACTTATTTTTCCAGGCAATGTCAATATATTCAACAGTGACAGCACACAACACACAAGCCAAAACACAGTCTGAAATCTCGGAAAGTTATGAGGAGCCTCTAGTCAAACTTAATGCTATAACAGAAAAGGGGTCTACCTTGGCTGGCCCAGCTATCGCCAATTATGATGACACCTTAGCAGAATACTTCTCAGATGATGAAGAACGGGAAAAGGCATTAAGGGGTCTTAAAGAGAAAAAAGACTTACACTCACAACCGCAAAGTAAACTAGATAAACTAGAAAAAGATACATAGAATTGTTATTTAGTGCCAGTCTTCATATTATAAACCTTTCAAACACCAGCATACTGTCAAAAAATTATTCTTTATTGTCTTCCAAAAATATGTTTCATGGTTTTCTTATAAAGTAACATCGGCCAATTGAAATAATAAATATAGTCTCTAGTTTTTATGTGTTGAAGTTCTATAAATACAATGCATGTTTTTAAAAAATATAATTTATTTCTTAAGTTTAGATATGTGGTGTTAAAAAGGTTTCAAAAACCCATTTACTCTGCATTTCAAGATGTTGCTGTGGAACTTTGTTGTGTACCTCTGTGCATTAGGAACTAGTTCTGAAAGAAAACTAAAACAATTGCAATGAAATGCATTTATTTTAATACATTGTACAGTACAGTCAGTTCCAGGCGTAACAAAATGTTAATGTACAGATATGCGATATTTTTAAAATAAATCATATCTCATTAGTTGGTCATCTTAAGTTATTTATTGTGAAATAACTGAAGAAAATAAAAATAAACTATTAAAAACATAAAAAAATAAATCTTTTCAACTCATGTTTTGATTTTCCATAATTCCTTTACACTTTTTATTTTCGACTAGCCGCAAATTCGATATCAGTTTCTATAAGCTACACTACACTACAACAAAGTTATAAAAAAATACAAAACGTTACTATTCCGTTGCTTTTAGCATAACTAAAGTAATAATTATTTAGTAAATTATAAATAACAATCAGTTTACTGTTTTGGACTGCCTCGTTGGCCGAGTGGTCGAAAGTGCGACTGCCGGGCAAGGGGTCTCGGGTTCGATTCCCGGGTCGGGCAAAGTATTACTGGGTTTTTAAAAATTCTCAGTAGTAGCACGGAGTCTGGAAATGTGCCCGGTATATGGCAATAGGCTCACCCCCTATTACATGGGACTCATAACATAACTAGTGAAAAGTGGGTGTTACATTGTACAGTGGCATAATGTGCACCTCTGCCTACCCCTTCGGGGATAAAAGGCGTGATGTTATGTTATGTTTACTGTTTTGGAATGTAGTCGGAAAAATTCTCAATAATGCAATTTGTAGGCTGCGCGACATCGCCGCGACCGCGCACACTGCTTATGAGGAAGAACCACTCTGGTTCGAAACTAGTAGAGCGTTTCTCAATAAATTCATGTGAGTAACCCGCGATTTTTAGTTAATTTTGTATGTCTCACGATAGTCATTATAAAAACTTGGAATCATTATAAAAATTTGGTTTAATATGAAAAGGCCATACAGACCTATAACAGCTTTGCAATACATATAACGGCTGAATATTAATTCTAGAAAAACAAATAATAACATTTATATAAAAAACGTAAAATACTTCACCCTAATTTACATTTACATAAATATTACACAAATTCCACAATCATAATTATCACACCATTTTTTTCATCACCCTTAAAAACGGACAATGTTTCCATTTCATTATAAAATCCTCCAAATACCATGTATTTAAGAATTAAAAGATACATAAAGTGATTTGATTCAAATCTAAATTTAGATTATTGATATTTACATATTGGCTATTATATTCAAATAATAGGATTTGAAAGTTGATCAATATAAAAACAAACAAGTAAAACCTGTACCATAAACAGGTGTTTAGCATGCACCTCCTTATGATATCTTCACGACTTTTTCTCTCTGGTTGAAGTAACTGACTGTACCTTCCTCGGGTTGGTTTGTAGGTGCCGGCATTTTGTGCAAACTGATATACGACGCCGATAAGTCTGTGCCGTCGAATTGTCGCAAATGAATCTAAAATAAGAACAACATTAGTAATCAATACAAAAAAAAGCAAGTTCATGATAATGATAACACTTATTTTTCATTTCATATTTCATATAATATTCCTTATGGCTATAAATTAAAAGACCACTTGTGTTAACATTTCCACTTTGTACAATATTGTCAGTTAAATGAAATGTAACAATAAATTTTGTCATACTCACTAGTAAATGAAGGTTGACCTCATCACTTCTACTCAAGTAAGGGAAGTTGCCGCCACTTTTTAAATGGGCTAATTTTGCGTGTGGGTATGATTTGTACAGATCCTCACGAACTCTAGAGCTTAAGGCACATTCATCCCAAACATCCATTACTGTGATGGGCAGATGAAGTAAAGCTTGAGGTTTGATGTAACATGGTGTGCAGTTCAGGGTCAATCTTGATGCTAACTCTGACTGGTTTAAAGATTCAAGCTAAAACAAAAAAAAAGTTTTAATAGAACAAGTTCAGTATCATAAATCTAACATTTACATTCTAAATATTTTAGATAACAGTCCGCAAATCTGATCGCTATCTCATTGGAACTGGTTGTTACAAGACTACAATATTATATTTCAAGATTGTTTGTTGTATAAAGTTACATGATTGCTCAGTGGAGTGTGAGAAATTATTATTGCTTCGGTAGCAAGTTAGTTATTTTTTATCAAGAGCCAATACTTACTCTTTCAACCATGAAGTCAATAGCTTCAGCCATTCTTTTGTCCAATTTGTCAGTTGTGAAGTTTCCCATGAGCATTCTTTTCAATACCAAGGAAGGTAGGAGCCAGAAGAGTGCTGCAGAGTCATGGTACTCAAACACGGATGTGTCTGTGAATGTGTTACAAAGCACAAGGGATGCAACTCGAGGGCAGTTACTTGTTAGTTCTGCAAACTTCTGTGCTATAAATCCACCTAAAAATAAACTGTACATTTAGAACCAGTAGCTGCTGCTCTGTAAAACATTCCCAGCCTATTGTTAGATATGTTTATGTATAAAAAAACTTACTGATAACTTATCTACTGTTTGTCATTTTGCTTCTGTATGACCAACTAACTAGGTAATTAAAGTTACTTTATTGACATTAGTACTGATTGGAATTTGTACCTAATATTAATGGCAGTAGCCACACTCCCCGGTAACTACTTGAAATTATTATTGACATTCCTAGCTGATATATTATAGATACATACCTAAAGATGCTCCAAATACATGTACTTTGTCAAGTTCTAGGTAGTCGATGAGTCTTTTGAAGCCGTCACACCATTCTTTCATGTTCCAATATGGTGGAGGTTCAGCAGCAATGACTCGAACCCCCCTAGCAGCAAGTCCCAAAACTTGTTGGAAAAACACGTCTGCCGTGCCAGACACTGGCGGTAAGCAAATCAATGGGCAGCTTACGGATTTTGGACCACTATCGAAAATTCTCCAAGCCTACATAAATTGTAAACAAAAGAAAGTTAATTATAATGAAAACAAAGTGCAATAAGATAAGTGTCGCACATAAAGTAGGTCAGGTAACTAACACAATTGGACAAAATTATTCATGCTAACAGATAATGTTTGATCAAGTTTGTTTACCTTGGATCCGTCTGAGTCAACAACAATTTTTCTCAAGGGAATGCTGCTTCTAAAACTAAGATACTCATTTGATTGTGACAATTCACTGACGCAACTCATTTTTATTTTATTAATGATTGCATAAAATAAAAATAAACTTCAGTATACAATACAAAATTATTCAAGAGCCGTTGTCGTAGAACTATTCCAGAATTCGAATTGGTATCTAAAAGTAAACTAATTATCGCTTTTTGCTCGCTGCTGGATGAACCTTGTAAATAAAATGACGTATGACGTCTTGAGTCTTGACACTCTTGACGTCTCGATCTCAAACGTCACACTGGTATTGGTACCGTTTTACGCAGAAATTCCATTAATTTATTATGTCTTTGATCACTTTTATTTCCAAATAATTTTGTGGACTTATCTCATTTACATTTATATTTTGGTTTGTTCATTACAGTCGATACACTTGCCAGAGACTACTCTTCCGAGTCGGGTTATCGCGTGGGAACGGGCTCTGTAGGAACACGGGTGTAATAGTATTTTATGATGTACTTTCTGCCAACGACTTCACCTTCATCCGCGTTCCCGTGGGATAAGAGGTAGCCTATTTGTTATTCTAGACCGTAATCTACCCTGTTCAAAATTTCATCCCGATTCCTTCAGTCTTTTTCAACGTGGTCGAGTAACAAACATACTCACAAACTCGCTTTTATAATACTAGTAAAATTTGGGAAAAGGAGAGGAACTTTCTTTTTGATGGGTAATCAGGGGCATCAATCAAATACATAACTGGATTAACTATACCAAATACCAAGCAAAGGTTCGGTCCCGTATGGAGTACTGCTCTCATCTTTCGGACGATGATGCGCTTGTGGAGGCCCGGCTTCAAAGCCTCGAACACAGGCGTAGGGTTGCAAGCCTTTTAGTTTTCTACTGGATACATTTCGGTGAGTGCGGGTTCTCCCGCAATTCTTTGCACAACTTGATTCCCCCTAGTTCTTTCCATCATCGTACCACAAGACAATCGGCGAAGCGTCACCGATTCATGGTAGATGTTCCCCCCACACGCACAAAGCGCTTCGCTTCAAGCTTCCTTGTGCGTACTGCTAAAAAGTGGAAATCTTTGCCAGAGTCTGTATTTCCTGAAGGGTATAACCTGGGACTCTTCAAGGCCCGAGTGAATAGGTTGCTTATGGGACGACGTGCTCCATCGTAGACCGCATCATCGCTTACCACCAGGCGACATACCTAGTGGTCAAACGTCGCCCCATCGAATATAAAAAGAAACTATCATAAAGTGTACGTGCTCCATACATTCTACGGTAACTCATTTAAGAGGTACCTACACCTCTACTTTGACTATACGAATCTCAATAATAAAGAATAGCCTGAGCCGTAACTCTTATGTAGGTACTTATACGTTATAGTAAAATAGTACCTACCTAGCTTTGCAAATTAAACATTCTTCAATTGTAGACCAGTAAACATACTTACTATAATACCGTTGATTTGATGACGACATATTTTCATGAAACAAAAGATTACCTAATCCAACTGCGTAGACTGGTTGAAATGATGGGCCTACGCAGTTGGAAGTTAATTGTTTAGATATTCATTGTGATCGATCGCTTGAAATACGATGTAATAAACTTTTCCTGCAATGGATTTAAAAAAAAACTACATCACATTCTTTGTGATATATCTTTTGTTTCCTGAAGGATTGGGTAAAGGTGAGGTGAGCCACGAGTTCACCTATTGTAGTCATGTTGTTCATGCTCACTACAGCTGTTTCTAATGAGAACTTCGATATCGAAAACACGAGTCGCCCAAAGTTGCTAGCGTGGTGGTCTTAGGTGTGGGTGGTTTGTGGGTGGACTGTGACTCTTTAGTGACTGTTTTGTATATATAACTTACTAGTATGTACAGAGGTAGAATATGCAGTGTTTTAACTGACCATCCAACATATTTATCCAATGTGTTTTACTTCAGGCAACTGGTTATATTTATTCTGCACTAGCTTTTACCCGCGGCTTCGCTCGCGTCACAAAAGGATAAAAAGTAGCCTATGTGACATATACCAATACACACAGCGCCATCTATACCAATAATTTCGTTTTCCCTCGAGATTTTTCTAGGATAAAAAGTACCCCATTATTTAATCCAGACTTCTAACTTTACGTCTGCAAAAATTCAAAGCAATCGGTTTAGTAATTACGGTGTGAAAGCGGAACAAACAAACAAACTCACTTTCCCATTTATAATATTAGTAAGGAACGTTTTTAGTAAACGTTTCATTGATATAGCAACTTAATTAGGATTGAAGTTACGAAACAACTAAAAGAAAAAACAGGTTCTCATCCAAACACATTCTGTTTATTATATACGTAATTAACATTCTCATCGTGAATTTTCCTACGATAAATTTCCAAACCATTTACTCTAACTTAAAACTAACTAATGAATAAGTTTTGGACGATTTTAGCAGGATTTTCGAAATCATTTTATTCTGACTGTGACAAACGATTAGGTAAATAGTTCTAACGCATTAAATGTTATGAAGTAGCATCGCGTTCTGAGATAACATTGTTACACAAGTAGCTTTAGGAATTTAGAAGCCAAAGTCGCAGGTAATCTAAGTCTTAAAATTACAAATCATACAATTATTACATTACAAATCTATATAAATTTAACTTAGTGCACACTAACCATTAAAATTCATTTATACCTTAATATACATTACAAATAATTTCGTTCGTGAATCACTAAACATTCTTATTAATGTACTGTATCATTCTTTAGTATTATCATAATATGATTTGAGCATACACCAGAATTGTTAAGAGTTCTTAGTATTAGCATCTTTGTACACACAATTTTACAGGAGCAAATCAATGAAGCTAGGGATTAAAACATATAGTACATTTACAACACAAACTGGGTGAATACATAATTATACTGACTTGCGAACTCCTTGGTGTTAAATTCCATTTACTATAAAATAGTTACAATATGAGACATTTATAGTACCAGAAATTAAAATGCCAGATATCATTGTAATTACCTTTTAATGATTCTAGTATTAAAATAATAAAACTAAACATCAAGATAAACAAATATTCGGGCAACAATGTTTTAAAATCACAGAAGTATTGTTGCTTGTTGCACATAATAATATTAAACAAAAACTAATTGTATAATTGTCTATTTCAGAAAGATTCTATCATTTACATAATGGCCTTGGGTGCCATTGAGATATAATAGAAATAAGAATGACTCATTCACTGTTATTACAATAAAATTAATATTAACTATCCAGTTCAGGCAAGCGGTACGGACAACTGAAAATAATAAATGTTATTAACAAAACAAATGCAATAAATCATCTAATAATATTTATGCAATTGTTTAGATTATATTCACATGCCATATATTATTTTCAAAAATATTTTTCATATTCTACTGGTGATATACACGATATTGCATTATATGTTATAAGATTTCGATTAATAATTATTTATAATCAGAGTTAAAATAGCAATTAATTTATATTGTTATAACTGATTCTGATTTTTGAGATTTTATTAATCCATTTAATCCATTAATTGTATTAAGCATTCATTGAAATATTTAGATATTCAGAATAATTATGAAAATATGTTACATTTGTTCCAATGTTCTTTGTCTATCTGTATGCTTCGGTTAAGTTAGAACAAATTCATTGATCTTGAATGTCCACATCATTTGAACTAACTACCTCTAACTATTCAGAATATCCGAATATTATTAGAAAATGCTACATTGCCATCATAATTCGTCATTTTAATAAAACAGACATTAAAATTAGTATCATCACTAGGACTTGCAAAATACTCGTTCAAATTATAAAAACAATCCTTTCATTTAATTAAATAGAGATTTTTTTAAAACCATTCTAATTAAAATTCTTCATTTTGACACTACGTAAAGCACTTAACAACAAAGACTATTACGGGTAATATATAGGAATAAAAATGGGGAAGATGGGGAAATGTGTAACGGGATACTAATTACCAGCATTAGTTTAGTTGGTTTATGAAATAATTTAAATTGAGTGTATAATGTATAACACTGCAACAGCGTGTAATAACATCGGTTGTATAACCCCGCTGTATAACTACGGAAGTGGGCTGTAGCACGCATGGGCAGTCAGTCGTTAACCTTCAAGCGGGCGCGCGTAGTCGAATCGACCGCGGTTAATACATTTTCGTTCGTATTTTTATTTTTAGTTGTCACATGCATTTCTACTTTCTAGTAGCCTGTCACTATCTTTTTAGGAGTAAAATAAAAACTATTTCGTTGCTTGAAGCGATCTCTACACTCCACAAATTACAATTATTTAGGCTCTGGCGCAGTCGTTGAAAAGACTACACGCGCCTGTCGTCGAATAGGTTACGCGCGACGCCCAACGCGACATACACATGTCAATATTATCTAATTCAGCTTGGAGTTTTGGTGTTTTAAAGCATTTTTTGTTTAAATAAGTCGTTTATGGTTATCGCAAAGTACAGTAATCGAGGAATTACAAAGAGAAGACGAAGAAGAGAGTGAATCAGAGCTTAGCAACCAAGGCTCTGAAACTTCTCATCACATAGTTTTAGAAGAACATCTATCTGATGTGATATCATCCTTGTCGGATTTAGATGAGAATAATTTGTAGCTTTCGGTAATAAATAGCTGTTTTACAGGACGCGATAAAGTAACGAAGTAGCAAAATCTGAAAAATTACTAGAATACTGACTCAGACGAAAATAAAATCAAAATTAATGAGTTTTTACAGTTTTATCCTTACTTTTTATTTATTTTTTGGTCTACGTATATAAACCAACCTAACATATGTAAACGGGTCTTAATTTTTATTTTGATCCAAAGAATATTTGAGTTACTTTAGGTGACTTAATAATTGCTTCTTTTTCATAATTTTAATTACTTGTTGTGACAAATTTCTCTTTAAAGACAATGATATTGTATCTTAGTACAAATTAATAAATGATTATCCCATAATTATTGCTTTCTTGGTCTTATTCATCCCATAGGTCTATTCGGTTACGCGCGCCCGCTCCCGTTACAAAAGACCGCGCGCCCGCTTGAAGGTTAAACAAGTCACAACTCACGACCATGCAGCATGTAGCCTTGGCAATACGTAATTGTAAGGAAACTGAATTTTGCCAATTTTGCATATTGAAAAAGTATTCAAGTCACGTAAAAAATGTACGACGCTATTCAATACTGATTTGTTTTCAGTCCATTTATTAAAAGGAACTACATTTTTTAATGTTTGCATTAAACGAGGCGTCGTTTATTGGTATCAATTGGTGTTATAGTGAGTATAGGGTAAGAACATTTAGTTGTATGTAGTAAGAATGTTGCAGGCTGGTAGCAGATATCGGTGTGAGAGGGAGAGTTACCGGTGTGGGCGAGGTCCGTCCGCCGCGGGGGATGTCAGGCAAGGCGCGGGGCGCGCGGGGTGGGGAGCGGGGCGCGGCCTCACGACTCGCCGTTGCCACTGTCGTCTCCGTCCCCATCTCCTCCGTCCACTTCCTCTTCAGAGTCTGTGTCGAGGTCGTCATAGTCGTCGTCGTAGAAGTCTGTCATGTCCAGCTGAAAGAATATAATAAAACAATGTTAGTTATAAAACTATCACTGTCAATATGCTTCTATTTTAATATATGTATTTGCGAGACAATTTATTGAGACTTCTTTGTCTTTATTGTATAAGTTTAGGATGTGTACAATAATCTACTGTTGACTATAGGGTTGGGTGCAATCAATCGATTTAACATTATATACAGTATAGTATAAAAATATTTATATGCTTTTTTTTATAGGAAAATGCCACAGTTATCCATCATAAAGTACAATATTGCTTCAAAAACGTGTGCATTTCTCAAACACTTTTTATATTAGACCACGTATTTGATTAGACAATAAGTACACGTAAGTCTAACATTATAAGCAATATATTCCATGGCAAATAAAATAATTACAAGTTTCTATTGAACATTTCTCACGTGTTGTATAAAAAGAGCTTATCGAGTTTAGTAATCAGAGCTACAACTTCTCATTTACGTTTGCGAAGTTGCGTCAATAAGCATATAAACGAAGTCCAATGAATCTAGAGGTCATTTTAATTTATACAGTTTATATCGGAATACTGATAGTGTTATCCACACTCATAGAATAGTTTGCTCAGATATCATTTTAAATACATTCATAAAAATGGATTCATAGACAATATACCATCCGCCCACTATTATAATTATATAAATGATCCTTATGTAGACAACGGGCAACACCCTTATTTTGATGGGGAAAATCATCTAATGCCTTCTCCCGCGTCGCGGAGAACCTAACGGGTAACCGGGGCTCCGGCTCGACGTGCAGGAGAAGGAACGGGGTGGTTTTTAGTCAGTAAGTTACTCTGACGCTCCCTCTCACCTCACTCGGGCGGGAGAAGGCATTTTTTTTAAGGGGGGCAAATCATCGAATGACTGCTCCCGCCTGGGTGAGGCGGGAGGGATGCGTTATCCTTCCGCGACTGCGGTTCTGTATCGGGCAACAGCCCTACTGGGCCCCATTTGTGGAACGGGCAACACCCTAGTGAAAAGCGAGTTTATTGTTAAAATCTTTGGGTTAAAAGTTGTAGAGAAGTACAGTACAAACCTGAGGCTCCTGCGTCGTCGACTTAACTTGAGTTTTAATGCAATAATCTTCTAATGTAAGTGGTACAACTATGCCCTCTTTCTCCGCCTCCGTGCGAGCCACCTGGGCCTGCTTTCTGTAAAAACAAAACAATTAACTAAGACATGTTTCTGCAATAACGCAATGGACGATAACAGTTATAGTACTCGTGACCACATTATCTATAATTATTTATAACAAAGGCATTGATTCTTGGTTTTTATGTAATACGTTAACCTAGTTACACTTGAGTATATCATGATGTTGCTTTATATTCAATACAAACTTATCAAACACAACATGTCTAGTTGTCTACATAATTGATATGAATCTTTTGCCACCACTGATTAAATGAAACCAATTAAACATGATTAATCAGCAATTACGAACGAATCGTCTGTTTGAAAACCACTCATTTCGTTGATTTATCTGATGATTATAAAATCCTTAAACTAAGTTTATGTGCAAACTTTATATAGTTTTTATTTGTTGCTACAAATGTAGGTATTTCGTTTCCCTAGAACTAGTTTAAGGTCATCAATTGTGTGTCAGTTTTATACACGTCATCTTCAGTACTCAAAATTTAAACCGACTTAGTTACAAATTCAGTGAAACGGGGACGCGACCGAATAAACTCATTGTGTTAAATTACTTTCACCGAACGACGGACGAAAACTGTATTGTCGTGTGACAACAAATGAGCTGGGATGAGTGAGACTAGAAAATGTCACCTAAGGGTATGAAAATAACCACCGTCAGAGTTTGCATACAATATGAAGGGACTCGACGTCAATTTTTAACCGACAGCAGTTGGGACTTTTTCATTGTACTAAAATCATCTCTTCAAACTTTTGTACACAGAATAGTTTCATATTTTCAAAACCAAAACCAAGTATCTATTGTAGGTGGGACAGTGTTCTAGACTAGGTTAAATGAGGTTTGATTTAGAAACCAAAATGTTTAGGTTTTTTATGATAGATGATATACAAACAATAAAATGTATAACATTCAAGGTTGTTGTACCATTAGCATCCGTATAGAGATTGTCTTATTCGAGCACTGAGCAAACGGCGCCTCACCTGATAATATTCTCATATTCCTTATCTTTGCCTTTGGAGTCGCGCCAGCGGCGGTACATGACGCTGGCGTCGACGTTAGCTGGGCTGAAGGTGTTGGGCTCGTTGAGTAGTGAGATCACGGAGAGCAGCACGGTGCGCACCGACTGCGTAGGGTTCCAACGTTCGCACGGTAGCTCGCCCGATTGTGGGTCGTCAACCGGCGGGTGCAGGATCGATATGCAGAGGTCACCATTCTGGAAAATTTTAAAGGAATACTTAGTCATGTACCTATATGGGACAGCTTTCTTTTATAACGAAGAAGATAGCTATTCTATTTGTCCTATGACAGTAACTGAATGTTGAACACAGGTAGGTACTCAATTTCATTGCAACAGTATCATAATAAATTAAATTCATTTTGCACTTTTTACGAACGATAAATATATCGTAAGCGATGGAATGAATAGGTACACTGGTACATATTTACTTGACCCCCTCTTTAGAGCAGGTCAAGTAATCGAGTACATATGTTAACTGGTTTGTGTCAAAATTAGCTGCTTTCCCTAGCTCTCTCTTGTTAACTAGCTTCACTTCATCTTTTTTGTGGCGACAAAACAAAAACGAAACCATCGTAATACGATCACCCTCTATTCGAAATGTACAGTGTACAGTAAACCACAGGCTATACAACAAAACCCACAAAAAAGAAAACTTGATAGCCAACTCGTGTTTCTTTAGAAGTCTGGTGGAATGAAACTGGTGTTAATAATGTCAAGTGCTTGTCACTTCAACCGCAGCTCTAGTTAATACCTAACGCATCTCTATTTGTCCTAGAATATCCCGGATAGTTGGGATTTGACCGTGAATAGAGATGTCATTGCCAAATAATTAATAAACATTTGATACGTAGGGAGTGACGTCGAAGCGCACAGATTTCAGACTGTTCGTCTCTGCTATCTGTCTATCAGCAAATCGAAGTTTGCACAATAAACTGCGAAGGCCAGAGTTATTAAATCTTGATACGATTTAATGCTTCACGGTTAGGAAGACAGATTTCGTTTTCGTTGCGTTATAGTGAGCGTAATACAAGGTGTTATATAAAATCCATTGTTGCCTCGCCTCCTCGCAGACTACCAGCAACCTTCGTAACAATACGTATTCTATACGCGCAACGCGAAACTGAGATGTCGAATTTACTGTTGCAGTGTTGCAAATGTCTTCACAGATATTGTAGTTATCTCGTCTTTATAATGAAACATAACTTATATATATCGTCTTACTTGTAGCATTCAAATTTCAAAATCTAGCAATTTTTACCCCAACACCTAAATAATTTAACTTGATTTTGCAAATAATCATAACGCAAAAAATGTCCTCACCCTATCGAATAAAGGTTATCATAAAATATACATATATGTAGTTAGATATAATTTGAATATACGCTGTTATAATTCATTAATGATCGATGTGGACAAACAATTTTTTCCGAAAGTAGAATATTTCAAGCATGGTTAGTTTAATTTCGGATTGAGAAATTATTTTTGATATTTGTTACGAATACGATTTAATATATTTATGTTATAACTTTCGTGAGACATACTAAATTAATAATCATGTTTTCGGCATGCTCAGGTAATTATTTGATGAGGAACTCGACTAGTTTCAAGCCATGTTAGAGGCTCATATTCATGAGCAGCGTTCCGAGACCATCGACACGCCGACTGTCGTGCTGCTTTTGACGATTTAATATATTTCTGGCGAACCCCTGATAAACTATATGTGTATCTGTACTTATATGTAATCATCATGTAATGAATGATATTATATATCTAGCTATTATCCAAACAGATACCTACCACGTTTTAGAAGAGTCAAAAAATTAAAAAGAACATGAAGTCGGTAAAAAGCAACAGAAAAGACCGAGTAATGGCAGTAGTTAGTCAGCTACAACTAACTTTGTACATACCTAACCTATGTAGGCGCGTATTATACATGGAACTAAACAAGAGTTACACACGGTTATGGAATCAACTGCTTACCTGGAAGTTACTTAGTTACTGGTGCGTATCATTGCCTATATCGTTAATCAGACTTGTTTCCTGTTCATATGAATTCATATCAATTACATCACACGTCGAAGTAAAAGAAAAATGCTTTGCACTGCCCTGTTGCAATTTGCAATGCAATTTTTTGTTACTCCTTCACATTAGAGCTCGCACTTTTGTATCATGTATCATAATTAACTTTCATTGGAAAGGCCTTCAAGAATCTTTGTGTTTTTTATTGTAAGATACATAACAACAAAGCATAGTTTGGTTTTAATTGACATATAAAAACGATACGAATGCTAAGGCCAGTACTGGCAACAGTTTACCCCTTCACCCGACAATAACCGCTTTATTACTCATCAATTCGCAGCGCAGCCTTCGGCAAGGTCTTCCATACGCCATATGTATTACACATGATATCTAGCTACGCGTCTTTCTAAGGAGATAGCGGAAGGAGGTAAGCGAGACGGAACGGGCAAGAGGCTTACCTCCGCAATTTACCCTTGACGATCTCGGTAAAACAGCATATCGAGACCCACCCCATTTACATTGTAATCTGCTCAGCGAATCGTGAAGGTTGTGTTATCCGATTTATCGAATGAACTTTGATGTTGTATGCAACTGAGCGGTAAGATCATCCGACGCTCGAACATACAAAATGACAGATAATATATTAAGTGGTGGTTGAAATCGTTCATTTACAACCAGTGGCCTACTACTCTAGTATTCGCATGACCTAGATACATTTTGTTTAGCGCGATAACTACGTTGTGCTTATTTAATTTAATATTACTAATCATTTAATTTTTAGATATTTATAGGCAACTATTTTGATGACTGCTACTACTGAAAAATATGAAAACTTATTTGCACAAGTCATAAAAGATGAATACTAATAATGAGTTGCAACTATCAACTGTAATATCAAGAATGAATAAGTAGTTGTTCCATGACGATGAGTAAATAGTAGATTCAGCCTTGCCATTTAACCCCAACGTTGTATCTGTCTGTATTTTCTGTATAGGCAAGACAGGGACATTAAAATATCAGACATCGAAGAAAGAAAGCTTCATTGGAAATCGATTCCAATTATCGTGCAAGCTATTCAGCTAGACACAGACACACTGAACATTTTCTAGTTCTAACTTACATAGGTATTACTTTTGTCTTTTTGTTATAAACATAAAAATTTTGTTATTTTCAACCACAATGGGAGTCTAGTGAAAGTGTTTCTAACGGTCCTCTATGACGCACTCTAAACGGAGTCTGCGCCTGCGATCAAGCTTTTGCGCACAAGGATTTGAATAATAACAGCGTAGTAGATTATTTATGTGAATCGGATAATATGAAATCAGTAGATTGAAATTCATATTACATATCAGTAAACAGTACATACATGAAAATGTAGGTACTATGTTGGGACTGGGATTTGTTAGTATCTAATTATTTTACGGGGTTCCTTACATGTTTGGTTGAAATAGATTAAATGATTGAATATATGCAAGTGTAGCTCTTGTTTTTGTGTATTGAAGTCATGATGATAGAGCATAAAGGCGCGGACATTACAGTGATGGCGTGGTGCGTCGCCCTCGGCTAAAAATATGCCACCGGTTCACTGCGCGCTTCCTCACAAAGAAAATGCGTGTGTTCTGACCTCCAAATCGGGAAACACTTGAAACATACACACAATGTTTATTTACATCACTCACAGATACATCTAGAAAAGAGTATACTAATCACCAAAGTTGTTATTCCGAACCATGTCAAGGTGCATGGCCGAGAATAAGTTATCAGTGCGGAAAATCAATCACGAGTTCGCATGCCGAAGGAATATCAAGAGTTGATTTTTTCTTTTTCAGTTTAAACATCAACTCAAATCTCTGGTTTCAAGAAGAACTTCCTAATGAATAAAGTGTCACTGTAATATTGCCCTATATAAACGACGGAGCAACCAGGTACTCCGATTAATTACATTGAATTATGTATATTCGTAAATCAGTGCGAGATGTTACAAGATGAAAAAATATGATAAAAATAGGTATAGTTGCTTCAACACTGCGTCAATAACAAGACAACATCAGTGTTTACCATGTGTTAAAATTCATGGAACGGAAATGTATTCCACATTGACTTTCCGATAACTTAGTAGAATATTATATGAAGACTAAGCGGCTAGTCTGGCTTGTGAGCCGAGGACCTTGGTGACTCGGCCGCGGTGGGTTGAAGGCCCGGTGACGCACGTCACTGTCCACGGAAGCGCCCCCGCCTTATTTCAAACTCACCTCTACATTATCTTGCATTACAATTACATTTAAAGTTCTTTAATAGTGCAAACTGAATAGGAGAACCGTAAGTAAACATGAAATACCTACCTAATTTTGAGTTTTGTTTTCAATACACCTAATAGTCCGAATACTTTGATATTGATAATGCAGTTGTTGTAAGAGACGTATATTGTTTCAATGTTCAGCAAAGTATTGAGCGATTGATATACATTATCAGGCGCTCGAACGGCGCGTGTGCCGGTGCAGGTAACCACGTGGCCAGTATTAAAAGAGTGTGATTGAGATGTTGGCACTTGCTTCCACGGTTCGGACGATCACGTCTCGGGGGCGTTATTTAAAGAACCGCGTGTGAATGTAGCACAAGTTCAAAGCGGCCACCGCGACGCAGGTCGACGGGATCGGGAATAAGGTTAATTACCCCAAGGCCGGGGAGTGCCAACTACGGTCGGGATGAACCTCAAGGGAAAGACCTTTTTACTGGGAAATAAAAACAAAATATTCTCCTTGACATTCTGCCAAATTGACTTGTTTAGAAACTTTTTGCAGCCATCGGTTTATCACGGTCAAAACACTGAGTCGGTTACTTCGTCATCAGTATTGTCATAAATGCAACGAATTCAAAAAAAAATCTAGGTTCTACATTTCGTCTAATAGGTTTCTAAGAAACGTCTACCCGAGGCAGAATATTTTTGGATAACAGGTCATTAATATCTACTGTGTGTGTGACGCCGACACGCGACGAGCATTTCAGTCTAGATGAACATTTGATTGGAACCTGTAAAAGGAAATTACCAATAGGGTAGACGTAGCATAGTATACTTGTTTGTCGATAAAATTGATCGTGAACACGGGAAGTTGGTACACATGATTTTCGTGAGCAAGCATAAAATATGTACAACGTGAACAAAACTGCTGGCTGAA